CGGTAATTTTACGAGTCAGTTGTAATAAACAAATGCGCCAAGAAAAAAATTAGCGAACAATGACAAAATGGTCGAAGTATGAAAATGCGATAAAGAAGCACCTTTATCTTTTTACATGCCTGAGCGTTATCGCGAGCGCAATTAATAGAAAGACGCTTACCTGTAGTACATCGGGACGCCCTTTTTTTTGTTACAACTTGCGTCACGCGAGAATTCGAATTCGGCACACTAGCATTTTGGTGAAATCTACAAAAATGGTAAACGCGCCTAAACTCACGAGCAAAGCGGCACTCGTAGTGACTGTTGCATTCTTTCTAAGTCACTTACGCATAGCGTGCTATGGGCGCAGACGCGATGCTGATAAGAAATTGCTTAGTTTACGCTACTACACTTTCTTGCGACCGTTAATTCAAACACGTTTTTGTTGTACAGAGATGATGCAATTCAGCCTTTACCCACGCTTTTGCAACGTCGGCCGATTTCGAATTTGACCGCCAAAATGAAAATGGCACGTTTCGCGAGAGGCCACGCCCACCCACCTTTTCAAATATATCACAAGGACCGTTTTGTGTACCCAAAAAAAATACTTCCCACCATTTCCTCGATATCGCGCGCTGAACAAACATACCAACAGCGACGACGGCCATTTCCTTAGATAACGTTCCCTCTTAGCAAACAACGTGCGATGTACAAATAACGAGATTGAGGAAAAAAGCACATACCTGAATGCGACCGAAAGGCGCGAGGGTTGCAAAAACAAGGCGAAATTAAAGGAAATTCCCCTTATTTATAACGGCGGCGGTAAAAAACGTGGTTGCCAACGGCGACGGGCGATAGCTGCAAATTAATCCCCGGCTTGATTAAACAAAGGGGGGAAAAGTTCCAATATTAACAATATTTAAAAACTGGCTGACGCAAAACAAACAGCGCTATCAAAACCGTACGCAAACAGTTCGATATTTTTGGTCGACCAGCCTGTGCTGTGTTGCAAACCAAATCGAAGTAGTTAGTGTAGTTACTAGTGCCACAAGTACAACGGGACCAAGATTTTTCACAGTTCCTAATTATTTGTAACCCCCCAATTAAAATTTAGAAATTTGTTTGAAATAAACACTCAAAAAATCAGAGGGCTTCAATGGATTATGTTCTCCTGTTAGCCAAAGTAATTATACCAGTTTCCTCAAAGAAGATCAGAAGCACTTCTTCAAACATCACATTCTCCTAATACAAAAGTTTAAAAGATAATGTTTCTTAATCTTGGAAAGATTCATTATGTTCTCCTGGTAGCTAAAGAAAATTTGCAGTGCGTCATTAATAAATATTGCGTGAATTAAAAACAGACAACCCTCCTCAAAAATTAAATCTCCCGATACAAAAACGTCCTCATAGATTATGCTCCCCTGGTAGCTAAAGAACAGTTAATTACGAGAACGTTTGGAGGCAAGTATCACCGGGGGGTTCTATAAAACCGGTTATTAACGACCCCCCCGGTGATACCATCTGCCTCAAAACGTTCAGGGCCCTAGACTCCTTTCCCAAAATCATGGTTTAGACTGAACAATATACAAACAGGGGTCTGAAGAACAATTCCCTACAACTGTCATAAAACCTTGCGTATAGTGGGGGTATTATAGACCCCCCGTGAAATACCATCTGCCTCAAAACGTTCAGCTCCAAGGACTCTTTGCAAAAATCATGGTTCAGGAATGAACAATAACAGGGGGTCTGAAGATGAATCAAATTTGCCCTACAAACTGGTCAAAAACTTCGTATATGTGAGGGTAATTATAGACCCCGCCGTGATTAACATCTGCCTCAACAACGTTCAGCCAAGGACCCTTCCAAGAATAATCATGGTTACGGAATGAACAATAACATAACAGGGGGGTCTGAATGAGAAAAATTATCCATACAACTGTCATAAAAACCTTCCGTGATATGTGGGGTTATTATAGACCCCCCGTGATACCACATCTGCCTCAAAAGTCAGCCTAAAGACATCTTTTCGAAAAATCATGGGTTAGGATATGAACAATATCAAAGCCGGGGAAAATCTGGACATACCTCCCCAGTAAAGAGAACGAAAATTTTCCCCTCCTAAAAAAAAGGTCATAAAAACCTTCGTATACTGGGGGTTATTACAGACCCCCGGTGAACATTTCCTGCCTCAAAACGTTCAGGAGTCCAAGGACTCTTTCCAAAAAATCATGGTTAGAATGAACAATAACAAACCAGGGGGGTCTGAAGAGAACATAATTTTCCCTAAGCTGTCATAAAGACCTTCGTATAGCTGGGGGTTATATAGACCGCCCGGTGATACCATCTGCTTCAAAACGTTCAACCCTAAGGACTCTTCCAAAAAATCAATGGTTTAGGAATGAACCAATATCAAGACCGGGGTCCGAATACCCCCGCAGGTAAAAAGAGAACAAATTTCCTACGAGTGTCAATAATAACCCTTCGTAATAGTGGGGTTATATAGACCCCCGGGATACCATCTGCCTCAAAACGTTCAGTCCTAAGGACCTCGTTCCAAAATCCTGTTTAGAATGGAACAATACAAACAGGAGGTCTGAAGAAACAAATTTCCTACAACTGGTCATAAAACCGTCGTATATGGGGGTTTATTATAGACCCCCCGGTGATACCATCTGCCTCAAAACGTTCCAGCCCTAAAGACTCTTTCGAAAAATCATGGTTTAGGAAATGAACAATATCAACCCGGGGTCTGGAATAACCGCTCCAGGTAAAGAGAAAAATTTCCCTATAACTGTCAATAAAAACCTTCTTATACTGGGGTATTACAGACCCGCCTGTATACCATCTGCCTCAAAAACGTTCAAGTCCTAAGGACTCCTTTCCCAAAAATCATGTTTAAGGAATGAAAATAACAAACAGGGGGGTCCTAAGAGAACAAATTTCCCTACAACTGTCATAAAACCTACCATACTGGGGGTTATTATAGACCCCCCGGTAATACCATCTGCCTCAAAACGTTCAGCCCTAAGGACTCTTTCCAAAAATCATGGTTTAGGAATGAACAATATCAAACCGGGGGGTCTAGAATACCCCTCAAGTAAGAGAGAAAAAATGTCCCTGCAACTGTCATAAAACCTTCATATACTGGGGGTTATTGTACAACCCCCGCTGATACACTCTGACCTCAAACGTTCAGCCTAAGACTCCTTTCCAAGAATACATGTTTGGATGAACATACAACAGGGGTTTGAAGAGAACAAATTCCCTAAACTGTCAATAAAACCTTCGGATGTGGGCGATTATTATAACCCCCGGTATACCATCTGCCTCAAAACGCTTAGCCTAAAGTGAGACTCTTGCGAAAAAAATCATGGTTTAGGAATGAACATATGCAACCGGGGGTCTGGCGAATACCTCCCCAGCGTGATAAAGGGAACAAATTTCCTATAAACTGATTCTAAACCTTGTATACTGACGGGTTATTACAGACCCCCTGGTGATACATCTGGCTCAAACGTTCAGTCTAGGACTCTTTCCAAATTCATGGCTTTAGAGATTGAACAAATAAACAAACGGGGGGTCTGCAAGAGGAACACAATTTACCCTACAACTGTCATAAACCTTCGTATGTGGGGGTTTATTATAGACCCCCCGGTGATACCATCTGCCTCAGAACGGTCACCCTAAGTACTCTTTCCAAAATCATTGGTTTAAGGAAAGACATATCAAACGGGGGTGTCTGATACCCCCATAAAAAGAGAACAATTTCTACAATGCATAAACTGTCGTATAGTGGGGTTATTATAGCCCCGGTGTACCATCTGCTCAAACGTTCAGTCCGTAAGGGACTCTTTCCAAAATCATGATTTTAAGGACATGAACATAACAGACAGGGGGGTCTGAAGAGAACAAAATTTTCACTACAATGTCATAAACCCTTACTATGTGGGGGGTATATATAGACCCGGTGATACTGCCTCAACGTTCGTTCTTAAGGACTTTCAAAATCAGGTTTAGGAAAGACAATAAAAAACAGGAGGTCTGAAGGAACAAAATTTCCCTACACCTGTCATAAAACCTTCGTGATTGGGGTCATTATAAGCCCGGTGATACCATCTGCCACAAAACGTTCAGCCCTAAGGACTCTTTCCAAAAATCATGGTTTAGGAATGAACAATATCAAACCGAGGGGTCTAGAGTACCCCCCAGATAAAAGAGACCAAATTTCCCTACAACTGTCATAAAACCTTCGTATAGTGGGGGTTATTATAGACCCCCCCGGTGATACCATCTGCCACAAAACGTTCAGCCCTAAGGACTCTTTCCAAAAATCATGGTTTAGGAATGAACAATATCAAACCGAGGGGTCTAGAGTACCCCCCAGATAAAAGAGACCAAATTTCCCTACAACTGTCATAAAACCTTCGTATAGTGGGGGTTATTATAGACCCCCCCGTGATACCATCTGCCTGAAAACGTTCAGTCCTAAGGAGTCTTTCCAAAAATCATGGTTTAGGAATGAACAATATCAAACCGGGGTGTCTGGAATACAAAGAACAAATTTCCCTACAACTGAAGCATGTTAACGGCTAAGTTTTACATATATTACTAATGCGCATAAGACAGTATTTACATTATAAATTAAGACGGAGAGAGGATCTTTTTTGTTTACCAGTCTTTCATCACCATTAATGAATTTTAAGGGCCGTAAACATCAGTTTTCGCATCTATCTGGTGCTTTTAATGACAGTTAGGGTGGCGGGTCGCCGTGGCCCCCCTGCCCCGTGAATCCTTAATCCGACAAGCCCAATGTGTCTATTATTGGCATTACGAATTCGAAGAACTGTACATTTGTGTTTGTCGAACGCGATAAACGCTCGCCTTATCTCCGAATATGCAAATATTGGTACTGTTAATGCCTCGCTTTACGAAGTTTACAAAACACTCTACCTGCCTGGAGCCCAATTAAAATTAGCGCCAATAAACCGACCCAAAAGCTGCACGATAAGCGGACCACTCACCCTCACGTTGCAGTCGTTAATTTCGAAGTCTTTCCTCGGATCGTTCTCTGCGAACAGAAAATTCGAGGTTATGTTTGTGACGGATCGTTAAGGGCGCCTTTCGCCTTTGCACGTTGAGCGACTTTCGCACTTAACGCCGTAGCGCGAAAAGGTCGATCGTACCTGAATTGCCGACGATGCCTTCGGCCAAAACGCCACTCGCCAAATTCGTGAGTTGCCCCTTTATCGTATTCAAACTTTCGTTGAAGTTTAGCCAGGACATTTTCGCACGTTACGGGAACAAAATCGATTAGTATTTTTCGCGATTTTTGCAGGAATTCATTATTTTTTTTGCACTGAAATTTTGTATGCCAACACAACACCTAAATGTTTTTACTACGGCGCAGTGGCGGGGGTTAACCCGATCACGGACTGGGGCCTAATTCGAAGTTTCCGTTCTGATTTTTCGATCTGTGCATTACGCATTCGTAATTTGAGCATTTTCGCATACAAAAGTTCGTGTTTTAACAACTTTTGAGTTGTTGAACTATTTGGCAGTGGACAAGTCGCGAGTGTTACGCCACTGCAATATTTACACTTTCAATTTTCTAGTTTGACGTTTGGCGGAAGTAAAGATTGAGTATACCGTTTGACCTGAAAACATCCTTTTGGGTTTAAAAGAAATCAAAGTTACTTTCCGTCGAGTAGATATACAGAGTGATTTCTCATATCAAATTTTCAAAGGAAGACGTAAAGGAGGTCTTCTGGCGTGATACTTTCTTCGGGAGAAATAACGAATACTTCCTAGAAAAAAGATAATTCAATGATTCGAAGCATCGGGGGGTATAAACCCCCCAGAAAAAACAATTTCTTTAAAAATAATAATAAATGTCCTCCAGAAAAGGACGCTTCGATGGTACCTCCGTAGATCCCTCGCTGAAATGATCTCCCTCTATTTGAGAACCCCCTTATTTTGTTTCCTGGGAGGTACCCCCCAGATCCTCCGTTGTAACGGCGCTTAGTACTCTCATGATTTTTTTTCTTGAAGAGCCATACTCCCTAAAAAAGATAGTTCGGGAGTTTTCCCTCTAAAATGTTAGGTAGCTGAAGAATGTCGGTGGAAAATGCAGTACCGGTGGGTCTGGGGGGGAGGGGGTCATACCCCTCAGGAAGAAAAGAGGTGCGATGACCTCGATGGTACCCCACAGACCTCTCGGCGGATTTTCCCCCCCCCCTCCCGCGGTTTTTTTGGAGAGACATCGATTACTCCCTAGGAAAAGATAATTCAGTGGTTCTCACTCCAAAATAATGTACAGTGAAGGGTGTGAAAATGGACCACCGAGGGTCTGCCCCCTACCCTCGGGAAAAAAAAAGATGCGATGGCTTTTCTCTACAAGCAATGAGAGCAAAAGCGCCATAGGGGTGGGGTAAAATTAAATATTTTCCAGAAAAGTACACTCCCAAGGTACCCCATAGATCTCTCGGTGGATTTCTCCGCCCCTATTTGAGAACCATAACCTTTTTTTCCTGGGATTATTTTAAGGTATCCCTCGGTACTGCCGCCCTTGGTACTCTCATGATCATTTCTTTTTTGGAGCGACATCGAATATTCGCTAGGAAAAGATAATTCGGTGGTTGGTATTGAAGGGTGTAAATGTGTTCGTGGGAAATAAAGCACTGGGGGGTCTGGGAGTATGGAAAGACAGGCGCAATGGTTTTTCTTGAGAGGAAAAGGTCATAGAGGGGTGGGGTAGAATTGAGTATCCTGCAGAAAAGGACACTTTAATGATACCCTACAGACCCCTCAGTGAATTTCTCTATCTTTATTTGAGAACCTCCTTCCTTTTTTCCCTAGGAGTTATTCAGGTCCCCGGTGCTGCAACGCTTGGTAATCTAATGATCATTTTTAGCGCATTTTTTAAGAATTAAAAAAAATGTGCTATTGTTTGCGTTTTGTCCGTCCGGACCCACTTCTACAGTTTTGAACTACTTCTAGGACTAGGAGAATGGTCCTACAGTCCTGGAATTTTTTGCAGTAGGTAGCCTACACCTTGAAGGTGTGCCAGACGGCCATCAAATTTCGCTGTCTAAAAGGCCCCCCCCCCCCCTCGAATTATTTCCGAGATACTGTTTTGAGAAGTAAAACTTTTACATTACGACAACCAATTTTGGCCTCAGATTTTGCATACGCATTGCTTTAGTGGTGCCAAGTTAAACTTTGAAAATGGGGGCGGGGGGCAGTTCATACCCTTTCATTGTGTTTTAAGAAAGGTCTCATCGAAATAACTCTCGGTTTGTACAAACTATTCCCGTGCGACCTTTTTTCGATATTCAGCGATCTGGGGGGGGGGGTTAAAAAATGAATTTTATCTCTCATTGTATTCTAATTAAAGATCTCAACGAAAGGAACCGTTTTCTACCAACTACTGCCCTTCTTTCTGTCCTCTGTCCTCTTATCAAAGCAGGGGGGAGTGGAACTAGTTTTATCCTTCATGGTACTCTAATGAAAGGTCTCAATGAAAGGAATTAATTTCTACAAACGATAGCCCTCCTTCTCGACCTCTTATCGTGATCGGGTATATTCCCTTATACCTCAAGAACGGACTGTCGGAAGAGGGTACTCACAAAGGGCGATTGAGACGTCTGCAAGGAATATATCCATTGGTGATGTCAAAACAAAAGCTATTTCGGTTAAAAAAATGCGCTTTATCTGCACAATGTGCACAATTTGTACTTGTTTTGAATTGACATCGTAAGACTCCAGGAAAAGATCATTCGGTGGTTGGTAGAGAAGGGTGTAAATGTGTCAGTGGAAAACACAGCACCGGTGTTCTGGGGGGCATTTCTGGTGGGTGATACCCCTCCTATCCGGAAATACAGGTGCGATGATTTTTCTTTAGAAATAATGAGAGGAAAATCTCATACAAGCGTGGGGTAGAATTGTGTATCCTCCATAAAAGGACACTTCTATGGTACCTTGCAGACCCCCGATGAATTCCTCCCCCTTTATTTGAGAACCCTTTCCTTCTTTTCCTGTGCTAGGGCACTTTTCGTACTGTCGTGATCATTTTTCTTGGAAAGTCGTCGAATACGTCCTAGGAAAATGTTCTCCCTCCAAAATGCTGAGTAATTAAGGGTCTAAATGTGTTGATGGAAAATGCAACGAGGGGGTCTATGGAATACCCCCCAGGAAAAAAACAAGTGTGATGACATTTTTTTTGTGTTCCATAACCCCCACTTCGCCGGTACTACGACACTTGAATTTCTCTCCTCAAATACTCCCTAGGAAAAGATCCCCCCCCCCCCAAGGAAAAGGTGAGATGACTTGTCCTTGGAAAAAAAGAAAGAAAAGCGGCATAGGGATGGGATAAGGAAAAGTACACCGTAATGGTACTCCATAGCCATCTCGGTGAATTCCCCCCCCCCCCTCCATTTGAGAACCCTTTTTCTTTTTCCTGGGTTGCATTCCATACCCCCCAGACCCACCGGTGCTAAGAGCGCTTGATACTCATCATTTTATTGGGGAGACATCGAATACCCCCCCCCCCTCCGCCGAAAGACAAATGCGATGATTTTTCTTTAGAAATAATGACACTGCAGTGGTACTCCACAGATCCCTCGGTGAAATTCTCCCCCTGAATCTGAGAGCACCCTTCCTTCACGGGGTGTACTCCATACCCAGACCCCCCGGTGCGACGTTATTCTCATCTCTCTCTACGTGATCGTAGGTGGACCGTCAGCGTCACACCTTCATCTTTCATGATATTGGGAGGGGGTGAGAGCCATATACCAGGCCCCTTCTTTGAAAGATCCATCAATACACATTCCGTAACGCCGCCTACTGTAGTTATACGTTTGGCGGAATTAAACATTGAGTACAGCTTTAAGTTGCAAGGCATCAAAGTTACTTTCCACAGGAATATGTATATACAGGGTGATTCGTCGTTAAGTGCAGTAAACATGTCCCTGATAAATATTTGTCGAATTTGTTTAGATAACAGCGTAGAATTAAGAAATATCTTCGAAGAACGAGTTAACAATAGAAGCCTTTCGGCCCTTTTATCCGAATTTGCCGTAGTCGAGGTGAGTGTGGCTTTCGACCGAGAGCTCGTCTTAAAATCACTTGCAGGTATCTCAAGGCGATGGGCTTCCTTCGACGATTTGCGGCGCTTGCAACGAGAAACTCATGACCGCCTTGGATCTGCGACAGCAAATCATCAAATCCGATAAACAGCTTCGTACGGAGGTGATCGTTAAAAGCGAGATTAAAATTGAGGACGGTGACAATTTGGAAATCGTGACGGTGGACGTGCCCGCGATTCCGGTGGAGACGGAGGAGGTCAAAGTGAAAGCTAAAAGGCTGAGGTACTACTGCGCTGAGTGCGATAAGTGCTTCTCGCGACGCGCTTACTTCATCGCACACAATCGCAAACACACGGGAGAAGTGGGTGACGCAACACCCAACGTTTGCGACATATGCAACAAGAGGTTTGCGTTGCCGTGGCTGTTAAAGCTCCACACGCGAATACATACGGGCGTTAAACCGTGCGTGTGCAAGACGTGCGGTCGGACATTTCGATTTCCCAGCGCCCTGACCATTCACAAACGAATTCACACAGGAGAAAAGCCATACAAGTGCACCGTATGCGACAAGAGCTTCACGCAGAGCGGCGGTTTACAAGCTCATTTACCGGTGCATACAGGCGAGAGAGCATTCATGTGCGAAATTTGCAGCGTCACCTTCACCTCCTTTACCACCCTCAGAAAGCACCACCTCGGCAAGCACAAGGCGGGCAAAGGCAAGTACGGCTGCCCGACTTGCGAGAAGCGCTTCAACACCTCCACCATCTTGAAAAATCACCTCAAAACGCACACGGGCGAGAAACCCTTCTCCTGCTCGGTGTGCACGAAACGGTTTACCGAACGCGGTTCGCTGAAGCTGCACATGCGAATACACGAGGGCGTGAAGCCGTACTCGTGCAAGATCTGCGGCAAGCGCTTTACCCAGTCGAGCTGTCTGGTGAGACACATGCGGGTGCACTCCGGCGAGAGGCCCTATCCGTGCACCGCATGCCCGGAACGTTTCATGTATTCGCATCACCTTCTTAAGCACATGAAGATTCGTCATCAACAGGAGAGCAGTCCCACTGTGGCGACCTAAGCTTCCCCTTTTGTTTAAAAAACTCTAGAAATCCTTTGTCGCTAATTGATATTTTTATAATAACAAATATTGTTCAATTAACAAATCCGCATGTGGAAGAAGAACAGAAGTGGTCCCGATATACTGCCATGGGCAACTCCACGATTTGAAATTTTTGCTATAAGTGCGAGTCTCCTCGTCACTTTGTTGTAGGTCATAAAGAAATTAAAGATTTTGAAGAATAATTTAGTATTAAATATATCGAGATGGTGTTAAATTACAGCTATGCCCTAGGTATTCGAATACCTTGAACGAGGAGCGAGTTACCTACTCCGGGGGCGAGGTTGTGCTAACAAAAACTCTACGGTTTAGAATCTATGTGCGATATATCAGTTGTGATATTTTGTCGTTTGATTTGACCATCAAGGTCATATAATTCTCCATCTTTCTTTTTAGACTATTTAAATAACGATGATAATGCAGCCACATTCAAAATGCGAATTGTACTATTATGCCATTTAATTGTTTTATTATTGTGTCCTTTCTCTGCTGTACTTCAGGTCTTAACCTGGGGGTTAATACACTAGTCACCTAAAGGTTTCTTAAAAACCTACTAGTTGAAAGTAGGACAAGGTGAAGTTCAAAGGTCACAAGCCACGTGACTGTGACCTTGGAAAGTAGGTCAAGATGAAACCAAAGGGTATTAGTTTTCAAAGACCAGTGGCCTCATTTTTTATCGCCTTAATTAGTGAAGGGGAGTAGCGACTATAAAGCCCCCACACTCGTGCGCATATTGAATAGTATTAATTATGCAATGGATAGTGAGCACTCGTCACCAAAGCAAGCGATAGCCATATAGGGATAATAAGGCTATCCTAACTCAACCCTATGGAAAATTCCATAGGGCGAAATTTGGCTGCCGTCAAAGTTATCTCGCTCTTCTCCTAACGAGGACTTTCAAAACTAAATAAAACGTCTCAAAGGTTAACGATGAGGTGATTTTTGAAATGAAGTCAGTGTAAAGTTCAAAGGTTGCTCGCCGTTCAAAGTCCAAAGGTTGCTCACCGTTCAAAGTCCAAACATTTCTGGCCCCTCCTTTCGGGTTGATTAAAAAGGAAATAACAGTACTGGTTAAAAGTCGCTCACCGTCTGTTTCGCAGCTGGAGGTTAAATTAAGGCCGCTTGACATGGAGCAATTACTACGACGCAAGAACTGCAGAAAGAATGGCAAGGTCAAATCCTTGCCATGCAATAAAGCATTTGCATGGTATTTGACATGCGTGCAATTCTATTTCAATGCCACATTGTCTGCCAACAGAAGAAACAGATGGATTTGTCAACAAAGTAGTTAACCTCCAAATTTTGAAAATTAAATTTTGGAGTTGCTGCAGAAACGTGAAAAATTTTACAAGAATTAAATAAGGAGTAATAAAAACAAGTAATGGAGTGCGTCTCTCAGCATCATAGTTGCCGCCGCTGTGATTTTAACTAGGGTTGCGTGACACAAAAACAATAGATTTATCCTAGAATGCACGATTCATCAAGAAAAATAGCACCGGTCCTATAAAAATTGTCATGCAAGTCGCTTGCAGCAATTGGATCAGCTGGCTTTTAAACTGCGCATGCTTTCGCAATTTTTCTTGCAACCTTGCATGCAATTGCAATTTTTATGCTCCATGTCAAGCGGCTTTAACAAGTAGATTTGAAGGTTCCACTCTGCATATACAACTTACGACGATACATACATTTGTGAGAGTTGGCAACCATGCAATTTCTAGGTGGGGAAAAGCTGCCTGCGCCACCTAGAAAGCACGAACCGGGTTTCGTTTGGCATCTTGTCTTGAATGGCGGTCGTCAACGCATCGCTCCATAAATGATTGTTGTTATTTTGTGTTATTTAATGTAGGTAGAAATTTTTGCATTTCGTTATTTGTGTTTTGTATGCCGCATTTTATATTTGTTGTGTGTTTGAGTCTCTGTTTTTGAAGTTTACTTGATTTAACCGCAATGCAGAATCATATGTGTGATACCGTTATGCTATTGTTTGTAATTGTTTACATTTTTGGTGTAATGTTTGCTTAATTTATGTTTATTGATGTTGATTACTTGGTCTTGTCCCTGAAGTTACATTCATATAAGTTTTGATCTTTTTATTTTAATATGTGGAAGTTGCTAATTCGTTTAATGTATGTACTGACTTGTTGTTTGTTACTAACAATTTTCTCCGTGAATGAAGCAGTCACGGGAGGTGGAAAAAGAAACTGTAGTCTATAATTATGTGTTAGAGCACCTAATTCCGTGCACTGTCTTCGACATCCAATTGTAGGTTCGAAACCCCGAAACCAGGGGCGGACTACCCATCTTGCAGGAGCGAGATTACGCTAATCAAAGCTCTTCAGTTTAGAATCTATGTGCGTTAAATGAGTGGCGATTCAATAATTTCCACATATTTTGTTTTTAGTCAAATTTGCCTACAAGGCCATGTAGTTCTCCATCTTGCTTTCAACAAAAGGACTTTATTGCACCAAAGATGAGTCACATCCTGTACTTTTAACCCTTTCTCAGAATCTTGGTACCTGCTCCTACCTGACCCATTGTCCCCAAAAACTTGCTTTAACTTTGAGTGTAACCAACTTTGTGTATATGCATTTACTATCTTTGGTAACTACTGCTTAAACTTTTACAAAATATTTTGTTAATTAACTTTTGGACTGTTTTAATCAAACTGCAAGGTTTTTCTTACGTCGTACTCTTTTTACCCTTGGCAGTGACTTTTGCGAGAGTACGACACTTTGCTTGCTTTGTTTATATTAATGTACATCAACTAAATTTCCGTACTTTCACAACCTTAATAATTACGATCATTATTAAACAAACTGTTCACAATTTCAGTGTTTTATTTAACGTTCCTTCCCTACTGTGCTTCAGGTCAAAGCGTTATCTATAACTAACGTAAGGGGGCCCTGCCTTAGATGTTTTATCACGTGCCACTTTTTAAATTTAAGCGGGATCTTGTTTAGTTTTGGAGGGAATAGTCATTCGGGTGGCCATTTTTTTTAAACGTTGCCGGGTTTATTTTATTTCCGTGTTCTTGTAGTGTGAAGTTAGCGTAGAACCTGGGGGGTTAAGTACACTACAAGATCAAAGTTGAAAGGTGAATTCAGATTTGTTTAATTCAAATGGTCGTTTTTTAAATTGAGGGTCAGTTCAATGACATTATTAAAATACAAAACGCATCTGCCTACATAGCTCACTCGGCGCAGCTGCCGGAACCGAACGTATGTCCTATCCAAGAAAACATTGACTGATAGAGGCGGTATGTAGTTTACTGGGTGCGCGAGATGAGGCGGCGCAGCCGCCGAAATCGAGCATATGTCCCATTGAACAAAACATTGATAGACGGTATGTAATCCACTGGGTGCGTGAGGTGCCGCGGAAACCGAATGTATGCCCCATCCGAGGAAACATTGACTGATAGAGGCGGATTGTAGTTTACTGGGTGTGCGAGATGAGGCGGCGCAGCCGCCGAAACCGACCGTATGTTCCAAACAAGAAACATTGACTGATAGGAGGCTAATCTGCGTTATTTTGAAACAATTTATTTAATTATAGGTGAGTTTATGTAACAAATATTGATGCATTTAATAATCGTAATGTCTTCTTTTTTCGACTTCCGGTTTAGCAAAAAATTGCCCTCAGTTTTTGGTTTTAAATGCAAGACCCTGTACTTTTTATTGTTATCGAACGCAGAATAAAAAATGAAAAAAGGTTTTCGCCTTCCTGTACTTCCCGAAAGGTCATATTACGGACTATTTATGTGTACAGGGTGTCCTTTTAATAAAGGTCACATACCATCTCTATGGAACCATTAATTATACCGCTTGGGGAAAAAGATTTTGTTAACAATACAAAAGAAATCGTTAGAAATTACTTTCACGTTTCTAAGTTTGCCGCTAGAGGGCGTACGATCTTGTTTAGTTTTAGAGGGAATAGTCATTCGAATGGCCACTTTTAAACGTTGCCGGGTTTATTTTATTTCCGTGTTCTTGTAGTGTGAAGTTAGCGTAGAACCTGGGGGTTATAAGTACACTACAAGATCAAAGTTGAAAGGTGAATTCAGATTTGTTTAATGCAAATGATCGTTTTCTAAATTGAGGGTCAGTTCAATGACATTATTAAAATACAAAACGCATCTGCCTACATGGCTCACTCAGTCGGCGTTTTGTACGTTCGTTAATGAAAAATGGAGTTGAAGTTATTATAAGCAATGAAGCGGATAATGGTAGATAAGAGCGATTTTAAGAAAAACTGAAAATGTTTAATACCTGCTTCCGTTGCGATTCTAGAAACGGTTCAAAAAAGACGATGGTCTGAATATCTTCGACAAGCACGTTTATTCTAAGCATCGTAATGAGGGAAAAAATGCATATTTAAAACATTTGGAAACAAACGCTATAGAGATGTAAACTTTTTGAGGCGAGCAACCCTTGACCTTTACACCAATCTTTGGACTTTGAACGGTGAGCAACCTTTGAACGGCGAGCAACTAGTGGACTTTGAACGGCGACCAACCTTTTGACTTTGAACGGCGAGCAACCTTTGAACTTTACACAGACTTAATTAAAAAGATCACCACATTGTTATCCTTTGAGATCTCTTAGTTTTTTTAAATCCTCGGCGTATTTGATGGGCATGAAAGCAGGGGCTTCACAATCGCTACTCCCTTTCATTGTTATTTTGAACTGGCGATCCACATAAAATGAGGTGGTTGATGAATAAAATCAACCCGGACGCGTTTAAAAATGGTTAGTCCCCCCCAAAGTGCTAACCAGAAGGTGATACCATTCCTTTGGTTGAGCAGGAATGGTTCTAGGTTTGGACTAACCTTGAAAGGTTAAACTTTTGAATATCTGTATTAGGAGTGCAAGAGGAATACTTACACCATCTATCATTTCTATGCTCCTAATATGACTAATGATGCAGAACTCTCCTTGCGTTTGTACATTTTTGATACAATCAGTTTGCGAGTATCGGGAGAGCACGTCGAGTCGTCCAATCCTTTTACACTATCTTGCCATTTTTATGTCCCTGATACATTTACTAAAAAAATGTGTCTTTTTTGCGCTTGAAGGACTTGTACTACCAGGAGCACATGGGGGATTAATTTTCTCGCTCATCTTTATTATAATTTTTAAATATTAGTAACAAATATAGTTTTATTTCAATAATGAATATTAGCAGAAAATGAAAGTTTCAGAAATCGATTTTAAACGAAGGGCGGTCTATCGGGATTCGGCGCGAACTTAGAGGTTGAATAAGTTAGTCCGTATACTCCCACCAGTCCTTCTCGTAACCTTCGTGCACGTGGGCCAGAAGTGCCTTACGTCTACCGTCGCAATATCTGTATTTATCTTGCACCTTTTGTTTAATGTCGACGAGATTCGCCTGCGTGATGTCCCTCTCTAGGTACTCGCTGAGGAGCTCGGTGGCGCGTTCCAGGTCCTTTTGGTTGTCTTCAAATATCACAGACTGATTATTCTTACGTAGGTAGTAAGCGAACACGTAAGTGTACATCAAAGTTTGTCGGCACTGGCAGAGTATGTCGACTGCCTTTTTTAAGAACTGCACCTCGATCCAGCTCATGTTGTGCTGCTGCATCTCTTCCATTCGGTCCTTGACCGCCGCGTACAGTTTGTGCTCGAACTTCAGGGACTGCATGTGATTCATGTATCGGTTGCAATAGAATAAGTACCGCTGCAGCGCCGCCCGTGATCGCTCCTGCGCGTCCCTCGCCGCTTTCGCCTCGTCCTCGTCGTAACGATTGCAATTGTACCACGAACTGCCGTGCGGCTCCCACGGTCCCAAACACACCCAGCAAAAGTCCGCCTTGCAATTCTGGTTCTTGCACACCATGTGATTGCAGCCGCCGTCCTTTTCGATCGTCGCGTTGCACTTCGGGCACTCCTTCGTGTTCGCCGCGATCCAATTCGACGTTTCCGAGTCGTCGTCGCACTTCTTGATCCACTTACGCAGCAGACCGCAGCGGACGGGATCGTGCCAGTTCTCGCCGCAGGCGAAGCAGAACACGTGACCGCAACGGCACGCCACCGGTCGCGCGTCCACGTAGGACACCTGCGAAACCAATTTGAGAGTGTTTATTTGGTCACCCTGTATGCGAATGATATATAATGCTTTCCTCCCTAAGAAAGCACTGACTGATTGCGTGCCGGGTGCGTGAGGTGAGGCGGCGCAGCTGCCGGAACCGAACGTATGTCCTATCCAAGAAAACATTGACTGATAGAGGCGGTATGTAGTTTACTGGGTGCGCGAGATGAGGCGGCGCAGCCGCCGAAATCGAGCATATGTCCCATTGAACAAAACATTGATAGACGGTATGTAATCCACTGGGTGCGTGAGGTGCCGCGGAAATCGAATGTATGCCTCATCCAAGGAAACATTGACTGATAGAGGCGGATTGTAGTTTACTGGGTGTGCGAGATGAGGCGGCGCAGCCGCCGAAACCGAGTGTATGTTCCAACCAAGAAACATTGACTGATAGGAGGTATGCGAGGTGAGGCTAATCTGCGTTATTTTGAAACAATCTATTTAATCATAGGTGAGTTTATATAACAAATATTGATGCATTTAATAATCGTAATGTCTTCTTTTTCGACTTCCGGTTTAGCAAAAAATGGCCCTCAGTTTTTGGTTTTAAATGCAACACCCTGTACTTTTTATTGTTATCGGACGCAGAATAAAAAATGGAAAAAGGTTTTCGCCTTCCTGTACTTCCCGAAAGGTCATATTACGGACTATTTATGTGTACAGGGTGTCCTTTTAATAAAGGTCACATACCATCTCTATGGAACCATTAATTATACCGCTTGGGTAAGAAGATTTTGTTAACAATACAAAAGAAAACGTTAGAAATTACTTTTACGTTTCTAGGTTTGCCGCTAGAGGGCGTACGATTCATGGTGAAGTAAAAAAATTAGTTTTGTCCTAAAATATAACCAACAAACATTTATTAACAAGTACAAATTGTGCACAACTCTTGTGCTGATAAAACGCATTTTTTTAACGATACGAGGTCGAGGAGGAGGGCTATGGTTGGTAGAAATTAATTCCTTTCGTTGAGACCTTTCATTAGAGTACCATGCAGGATAAAACTAGTTCCACTCCCCCCCCTCCCCCCCCATCCGCCTAGTATTTTGATAAGAGGACAGAAAGAAGGGCAGTAGTTGGTAGAAAACGGTTCCTTTCGTTGTGACCTTTAATTAGAATACAGTGAGAGATAAAATCAATTTTTAACCCCCCCCCCATCAGGCCCCGTCGCGCACTGATTTCGAAAAAGAGTCGCACGGGAAAGTTATAGTTTGTACAAACCAATTTATTTCAATGAGACCTTTCATTGGAATACCATGAAGGGTAGAACATGTGCCCCCACCCCCTAAAGTTTACCGTGGTACCACTAAAGGCATGCATATGCAAAATCGTCTGGCACACCTTCAAGGTATAGGCTACCTACTGCAAAAAATTCCAGGACTCTAGGACCATTCCCCTAGAAGTAATTGAAAACAGTTGAAGTGGGTCTGGATGGACGGACGGACGGACAAAACGCAAACAATAGCACTTTTTTTTTAATTCTTAAAAAATGCGCTAAAAAATACATGCATCGCAATCTTGTATGAATTTTGACGCAACAAATATTGCTCTAGCTAGCTCATAAAATATGAGGGGTGGGGGAAAGCAAACAGGAATTGAATGTAACTTCGGTTTAGGTTAATCGATTTCCACATAATGAGATTCATATACCCACGACTATAGTGCCCTCTATCTGTGACCACGCATTTTGTATTGTAATAGGAATAATAGCAGTCCATTATACTATATAGCCTAAGACGTGGTTACGCCATCTGACGTCAGTAAATTGTATTAGAGGGTTTTGAACCAATATAAGAATTATTTAGAGCAATACACACCCTAGACTTTACCCCATGTACTAACTCTCAGTGGATAAACTATAAATTATCAATGTCCTGGATTGTGTGAGTCACTGTTTGTATAGAAATAACCAAACTTTACGATAAAAAAAAAACTGCCCTTAGACAATCGACTGACGTACCTTAATTGCGTAACTACAATCCGGACTCGGGCACCATCGAAGCAGCCGATTGCACTCTACAAAACTGTTGGTAATTAAATGCTGGTACTTAATGCGTATCCTCGGATCTTTCAATAACCTCATCGCCGTCTGATCGTCGACGAGTATCGGACAGTTGTGCGCGGCGCACGCGATCGTCTGCCCGACGCCCTCCTGCACTATCTTCGTCGACAGGTACTCGTTCCAGCACTGATAGCAGAATCGATGGCCGCACTCGAGTCCGGTCATTTGCGACGGCGGCAATATCATAAAGCAGATCTCGCACTCTTCGGTACCGAGAATTTTCCTCGGCAGCTTCGGCTTGGCGACGACGACGCGCTTGAACGGGTTTATGACGTGCGCCTCCTGGAAGAGCTGATCCTGATTGCCGTCGTAGAAGCGCTCCATAAGCTTCTCCTTGTCCCAGTTGAAGTAGTTGAGTAGGATACGTGTCGTCGTCGACGGTATTTGCACGACCGTGTTGACGTCCTTAATGCTGTCGATCATATACTGAACGATGTCGTCGGTCGAGAATACCTCGAAGGGATAGTCCTCGTCGATAGTCGGAATCTCTCTGGTCGAGCTTGCTTCGGCTTCGATTGCGAAATCGACGTCGTCGCCACTCGTCTCGTTGCCGGAGTCCTCAAAATCGTCAGAGTTCATTTTGGGGAAATTAGCACATTCCTAGCTGGGTGAATTTACTGTTTAATTTTGAGGAGAGTGTCCGAATTTTATGTTGTTTTGACAGCTAACATCTTGCAGCCTTTGCGAGTGACAACACTGACGTTTCGGACAGGTTTCCGTTGTTGTTGCTGTTGTTACTCGCGTTAATGTACATAAAAAGCATCCCGAATTGTTACATTTAAACTAAAGGAAATATCCTGGTTATTTAATAAAATTGTAGATTTGTTGACAATTAATTTGGTGGTACATCAAAATTCTTAGTGATCTCATTTCTTCAAGTTGGTTAAGTTGGTAGCATGAAACGTTTGCGTTCAGCTAACTAAATTAAGTGCGTATCAAGAAGAAAGGATTGCGCTCTATTCCCTACGCAGTTTACTGTGTCTTGCGACCCAATGCCATAGGGCCGTGTATACCTGTAAACCAAAGATGAGTTCCATCCTGTGTACTTATGCGTTTGAAATATACGACTGACTCTGTATATTGCATTAGACACTTCACACCCGTTGGCAGTCTGTGAGACACTTTCAATTTTGAGGTTAGGTGTAGCTGTTTACAAAATTTTAAAACAAGTTTTCCTCTTCCACTTTGAAAATGACCAACACGGAACGAGCAGCCTCTGTTTCTTCGCCCTCCTCCAACACCTCGGGCGCCCTTTCCATCGATTTTGACGACCATTTGCTACCGTCGAGTTTGGCCGCCGAAGAACTGCAGCTCGCTCTGAACAAGGTTAGTGCACGTATAAGGACCTCTCGACGATTAGCGAATTCGTTTTTAGGAAGCGGGCGAGGTGGAATTACAGACGGCCATCGACCGGTGCAAGGAGCTGGTGCTCGAATGCGATCAGTGCTCTTCCGAACGTAAATGGCTCGTACGACACCTAATCGAGCTCCGTCTGCGGCTACAGGAATGCCAGGACGCCCTGAGCGATCCTCTGTAAGTGAAGGTGATTACGGGAATTTACTGTAAATTTTTTCGGTGACAGGCACCCCAGAAACTCGAGCAGTGGAGCGTCGACGAGAACAGTCCGCGGCCACCACCTACACCTACAGCCCCTTCTCAGTACGTCATCCCATTACTGTGATCATTGCACTGGCACAATATGGTAAAGCCGCCCGCTTGTGTCGGGTTAGGTGATATGTTTTCGTTTTAGGAGCGTCGTTCAGGCGTGGTACCAGTGTCGGGATTGCGGCTACAATTGCCATCACAAGTGCATTTCGTTCATTGTCCGCGAATGCGCTCACGTTACGATAACGGAAAGGGGCGGCTATGAGCCCGACATCTGTCCCGAAATTGGATTGTCGAGACAGAAGTTTCAGTGTGCCGAGTGCCAGGTTGCGCTACCTATAGGTGAGATGGTGTACTAGTTAAATCGGGCACTTTAAACCCAAGGTTTTAATTATGGATGCTTAACTGTGCACATCTACTGTTATACGTGTATTGTGTGTTGCCTACGTTACAATGAATTTTCTATGCAATATGGCGACTGGGCTAAGCTGTAAGCTCCCATTTGTCGCCACTGTCTCGTATAAAATCACTGTATTTGAAGTAGTAAAGTGCCCTCGTAGAAATACTGTGTAATTTTTGATTGGTTGTAGAGATCCGTGGCCATGTTGCATCGAATATACAGTGATATTCGTTTAGAAGTAGACATGGGAAATCCCTATGTCTACTTCTACATAAATATCACTGTATATGTATACTTACACTGTGTCCATTTTTCAAGTGCCACTATGGGGATCTCGCTTATTTTAAGAGATAGAAAGTTGGTTAAATGGGGGGAAAGTTTCCAATTTTCGTGCTGAATAAGAATTTGAAAAATTTGAAATATCTTCAATAGTTTTAAAGATATCGCAAAAAAACGGAAATTTCTGATTTTCATCTTCAATTTTTCTTGTGGGCGCCATTTTGACGTTTTGTTTTTCCAAAGCGCTCTTCTCAAAAAATTAAAAATTGTATTTTGAGGAAAATATGATACTGAACCATCATGTGTGATATATCGTTGTAAAGAGAAAATAAGACGTAATCCCAAAATGTCAAAATTCAATATGGCGCCCATAAGAAAAACTAAAGTTGTCACGTGTTTCTCCGTCATCTTGAAAGTAATTAAAAACAGGATGCCATATTTGAAATCTCCATTAAAAAGTGTCCGAATATATGTAAATTAGAAATGTCTACTACGATTAGTTTATCATAAAAAAAAATAAAAACGAAAATCAGAAATTTTCTTTTTTTGCGATATCTTCAAAACTATTGAAGATATTTCAAATTTATTTTCAAATTCTTATTCAGCACGGAAATTTGCAACTTTGCCCCCATTTAACCGACTTTATATCTCTTAAGATAAGTGAGATCCCCATAGTGGACACCGTGTATAATATTGTATTGTAGTGTAGGTAACACATGTTATATGTGTATTGTGTGTTGCTTAGTTCTAATTTGAATTTTCGATGCAACATGGCGGCTGGGCTCCTATTGTCGCCAATGTATGAAGTAGTATCGAGTGACTCAATAAGACTGTTCATCGGCCATATCTCGGGAACCGTTCGTCGTATGAGTTAGGGGTAAAAAAATTATTGGGTAAATCGATTATGAAGAATCGCTAGAAAATATTTTTAAGTTCTAAAAATGACCACCAGAGGGCGTAACTGCCATCTTAAATTTTAAAATTGCATTTTCTTTAAATTTCGCATAATAAACGAAACATTCTTTTTTCACATTTTTAAAGAGAACCAGTTTATCTATCATTTTCGTAAAAACAAAAGTTCAGTTATTTCAAAAACAAAAATGGCGTAGGGCGTTCAATTGTTTTTACCTGCTGTAACTTCTTAACCGTTTGACAGATTGTCCCAATATTTGAGGTTAGGAACGAGAGTTTGAGAAACGGTTTTCACTGGCCTCTTTGGATGTTATTTGGCTACTTTTTCATAAAGAAAAAGTCATATCATTCCTTTTGATTTTTTTAGGATTTTGGGCCATCGTGTCAAAACGCAATGCAATTTTAAAATTTAAGATGGCAGTTACGCTCTCTGTTGGTCATTTTTAGAACTTGAAAATATTTTCCAGCGATTCTTCTTGATCAATTTACCCAATTTGCTTAAACCAATCAGCTCAATGATAAATTTGGAAAAAACATGGCGGACATGGAGCATATGACCACACTGTTCTTTTACAGTGACTTTATACGAGGCAGTGGCGACAATAGAGTGTCTAATTGTTGATTGGTTGTTGAGATCGGCGGTCAAAAATATGACGTGATTGATCAAATGGTCCTATAGGATATTTTAAAAAAAAATGTTCAGCCCTCGACCAGGCTTGTACGCCCTTTATAACGACATTTTGGCAAACACTCAATATCTCTCCCTATATTAGTTGTATTATTAGCTAATCGGGTTAATTTTCAACTTTGTGAAAGGCAAATGGGCGTGTTTTGATTACTAGTTGTACTTGATTTTCCCTCAACCATAGTAACTTTTTTCGGTATTTCCACATTGAGGTAGGTATACTATTTTGATCCTTTGATACCTTTATGGTTTTTTAAAATTGTAAGTAGACACACCGTTTAAGCACCTTGGGTTTAAAGTCTCGAACAAAATCCCTACCTAACCTAACGCTTTTATCTTGCTAGCCGCTCCTAAAGGATTGGTATGTTTCTCTCGATTATTTTTCATAGGTAAATCGTTCGCTAGCCCTTAAAACAGATCGCTAAAACGCTTACGTCCCGCTTATCTTTCAGACACGCTGTGGTCGGAGGCGCGCAAGTGCGACTACTCCGGCCTCTACTACTGTTCGGCTTGCCACTGGGGCAGCTCGGCGGTCATACCGGCGCGCGTCGTTCACAACTGGGACTTCGTACCGCAGTACGTCTGCCAGGCGAGCCTGCAGCTGTTGCGCATAAGCGCCCACCTTCCGCTGATCAATTTGGAAAAGCTAAATCCCTCGATTTTCTCCGTCGTGCACGAGCTTAAGTTGGTCAGGCGGCTGCGAAACGAGCTGAACGGCATGCGGAAATATCTCCTGGTTTGTAGGGACGCGGAGGGCAGTCGTTTTATATGGAAGAACGTGGACAGGCCGCACATCATCGAATCGCCGGACCTGTACAGCCTGCAAGATCTGGTCGACACTCAATCGGGCGAACTGCCCTCTAAGCTTCATTCGTTGTCGCACACTTTCAGTGAACATATCAAAACGAAATGCGAGGTGTGCAAAGGAAGGGGGCATATTTGCGAGGTGTGCTCGAACGATGAGGTTCTGTACCCGTTCGATGTCGATGCTAGCATTTGTAAGGCTTGCGGGGTTGTTTTGCATAAAAGTTGTTCGGCGAGGCGTAAGAAGTGTCCCAAATGCTTGAGGCTGGAGCAACGTAAGCAGGAGTTGGCTGATGTGACAGATGGGGATGATCTTTGAATATTTTTGTGATATTGATTTATATGTTAGAGATGTAACATTTTTATGCAATAAAAACATTTTTTCCGTCAGTTTGCACAAATTTACCATCAGCTGCAATGCTACCCTCCTGATAGTAGGTGTAAAAATTTGCCTCGTTTGTACACTTGGGCGCAGTTTTGGAAACATTTGAACAACACTTAGACGATGTTCGTGTCGTGAAAAGTACGCGTGTTCGGTTGAGACTCTTGAATTACTGTCGAATCGAAAGAGAGACGCTTACAGTAGCGTCGGCCGTGGAAATGTTTATATTGTACCTAGAGGGCGCGGATGTAACCATTGCGACTGACCACCAACCTTTGCAGTGGCTTTTCTCTGTGAAAACCTGAGAGAATTATTCGGTGGGCACCCAGAATTCAAGCGTCGAACATGAAAATAATTTACACTCCAAGGAAAATGAACGCAACGGCGGACCTGGTCCACATACCAAACTAGCAAAAATTATAAACGGGCTGGAGGTGATCCCAGGAAACTATGTCTCGGAAATCTTAAGTCAATATCATGATTATCCCCGGCATTGAAAGATGATCTCTTCAATGAAAAGAAAAACAAAAACTGGACCGTCAACTATATAGTTGTAGTGTTATCCGAAGCATCTCATCAAACTCACCATAAATTGGAAACAGGATTTATAATTTTTATTAAGCAAATCGTGCCTCCTAAACATATTTATTAGAAACACCCTCACTAGGTGTTGGTACATAAATAATTCATTGATAAATAATTATATGTAGGTAGTACCATTGAATTTAGTAGTAACTACTTTACTGTTCAAATTGCTCAGTTAATCTACATAGGCAAATATGTACAGGGTGTCCCATTAATAATGGTCACAGGCATATCTATGGAACCGTTAATAGGCAGGCTCGACATTTTTTTAATTTTAACTGAAATCGAGAGATTTTGTTACTAAAAAAGGATAAAAAAATTAAGATGTAAAATATAATAATAAGTGACATTTATAATAATAAGTGACATTTATTAGATTACTGGAGTACAGAAGGAAATAAATATAAAATAAAACATTCAAATAGATAATAAACTAAATAATTAAAATTAAATGAAAAATGAAATTAATGTTCCGTAATCTAACGGGGCGAAGTTCAGTTCTATGGTGAGACACCCTAGAACTGCTCTACCACTTAACCCCATCCTAAACTAAGAAAATAAAACAATTAGTGGAATGAACTTAAAAATATGTATGTTGAAAGGGAGAGAGAGATAAATAAATAAGTCGTGGTTCTAAATAAAGAAAAAGAAAAGGAAAAGGGGAAGAAAAATAATCAATTGTTTTGCTCACGTAGAAGTAAATGAAAATAATTTCGTTTAAATGCGCCTTTTTCTTTTCTTTTTATATACGCGGGAATATTGTTATAGACACTTGCTATGTTGTATGAAAAAGATCGCTTAAACATTTGCGTTTTATGTAGTGGAGGGGTAATTAATTTGTAATGTCGACTACTAGAACTGAATTTAATGTTTTCATACAGGTAGGTAGGCATCTTAGTAGAGATGATTTTATGAAATAAGGATGCAGAATGTAATAATCTCCTTTTCGACATATTGAGCCAATCAATTTCTTTCAACTTGTGAGAGATGTGTTCATGCTTCCTTATTCCAAAAATCAGACGAAGGCATGAGTTCTGCATTTTTTGAATTTTATGTATTTCTGTGGTTTTCAAACAAGGACCATAGATTTGGTCACAGTAGTTAAACTGCGAAAGAACTAATGTTTCACACAGCATTGCCCTCACTTTACGATTAAGAAACTGTCGATGACCAAATATTAGTTTTAGGTTTATGTATGCTTTCCGGCAAGCTTCCGAGATGTGTGGCAAGCTTCCGAGATGTGTATTGATATTTAAAGTCAAGGGGCCGACGCGAAGCAAGAAAACTTACCCGCGCGGGAGACTAGACCCCGTGACGTCAGTAGCCAGAAACATTTGCGAATTCACGTAAACTGGGACCGATTTATTTATTCTCTGCACAATGCTGCAAGATTATCAAAAACACTAATTCGCATAATTTACCCCATGTGAATGTGAAAATGGAGTTCATTTAAATTTGCGTTATTAGGCAAACACCATTTCCACATTCACATGGGGTGAATTTCGCGAATCAGCTTTTCGATAATCTTGCAGCATTGTGCGCACAATAAATAAATTCGTCCCAGTTTAAGTGAATTCGGATATACTCTGCCAACGCCGCGGCGGCAAATGATTCCGGCTACTGACGTCACGCAGTCTAGCCTCGCGCATAGGTACGTTTTCTTCCTACGCGCCAACCCTTGATTTTAAAGTGCTTACAGCGGACGTAAATATCAATATTTTGCGCTCATATTTTGTTTGGTCGTTTTTAATAACCAAATGTCTCAATTTTAGTTAAAATAAAACAAATACCAAAAATGTCGAACCTCCCTATTGCACAGCTTCGGGGGAAAAAAATTTTGTTAACAAAAGGCGCCAAGAAAAATCGCTGGAAATTATTTTCAAGTTTCTAGCTTCGCCGCTAGAGGGCGTACGATTCAAAAGAAATGACTTTTTTCCTAAAACATACCAACAAACATGCATAAAAAATACAGACATAGCAATCTTGTATTAATTTTGCATCATTTTGATGCAGCACAAATTGCTCTAGCTCGTAAAATATGAGGGGTGGGGGAAAGGGAACATCTCTTTAAGGAATTGAATGTAACTTCGGATTAGGTTAACAGATTTTCACATTATAGGTCTTATTGGAGTATGGGTCCGTGGAGTATGGAACACCTCCACCCCAGTATACAAAGATATATTATGATGCAGGGAAGAAACCATTGAATCATTCTTTTACCTAGGGGTATTCTATATCCCGCAGACCCCCACCTGTTCCACACATACCACATAAACCATATCATTTTTGGATAGAGACCATAGACGTAGCCCCTGGGGATTTGGAATACCCTCCCCCCCTCCGACTATACAAAGATATTATAAACCTTGAAGGCTTCTCTATACCCCCCCCCCCCCATAGTCCACATACCACGTAAACCATAATGTTTGGTTAGACCATACAACCAGTGGCGGATTTACATATACTTAGGCACACTAGGCACGTGCCTAGGGGCGGCAGCTTTAGAGGGCGGCATTTTTTGCACTACATTTATTTTAGGTAACATTTTAAGTTTTAAAATACGCCCCCTAAGAAGTTACAAATGACAAAAATCTTTAATTAAAATTATGAAATAAATTGGAATTGGGAGATTGTTTAAACAAACTGTAACTGCAAGAACGATAATCGACAATGCAAGTTTTGACGTGTGAAAAACTTAATCTTAGGTGTACTGTATTGCTTTTCATATTAGTTTAAAAAATTTCAAGTTATAAAATTTGATTTCTATTAGCATCTTAAAATTTATTGCAATTTAAAGATTATTTTGGGGCGCATATCTTTCGGTGTGCCTAGGGGCGCAAAAAATTTAAATCCGCCACTGCATACAACACAGGAATCGTAGTACCGGGGGGTCTGGGAGCATCCCCCCCCCCTCCCTCACGTATACATGGATAGTATGCTGTAAGTAAGAAACCATTCATTCGTTCCTTTTCCTAGGAAACGGTTCTTCTTCAATTTGGGTATGAGCGTATGAACTTCTTATAAATGTTGCGCTGTTTGGAAACGTTTTTGAAACAATTTCCGAGCATTTTCAAACTGTTCATACCCCCCACACGTCCCGGTACTATAGCCTTTACCTCCAAAATATTTACAGACCTCAACACAGAAGCAGAAAGTAGTACAGGGGGTCTGAGGGGTATAAAACCGTTACTTTTAAAAGAGGGGGGGGGGACATTGTGATGCAGGAGAGAAGCACTGAATCACCTACGGGGTATTCCGTACCCCCCCCCCCAAACCCCCCGGTTCTGCATTCTTTGTTACAGTGCACATTCCACATAAACCATAATTTTGGACAGATACCATAGACTGTAGGGAACGTAGCACTGGGGGGTCTAAGGGTATAGAATACCCCCCCCCCCCCCAAGTATACAAGATATTATGATGCAGAGAAGAGAACATTGAATCGTTCTTTTTCCTGGGGGTGTTCCAGACCCCCCAGTTTAACATCCTTTTCTAAACCATATAGTGCACATATACCGCATAAACCAAAAACAAAAGATTTAATTTTGAAGTAGAACAGTCTCCTAAGGAAAATAAGAACACATGCGCACTTTGCAAAGCTTTTGGTCACTTAAAGGAATAGTGGTAAGAAACTTAGGGCCAATGAGAAACAAACATTCCCCAAGGAGAATCAAGCAGCCAGCCAGCGACAGGTGACATGAAACTGAAGCTGCCAAACCCAAAATTGTGTACTATGGATGCGGACCAGGGGTAGTCCGTGCTAAAAGTGACACGTGTGAGAGGTTTCACCCTGTATATACAACTTACGACGATACATACATTTTTGAGAGTTGGCAACCATGCAATTTCTAGGTGGGAAAAAAGCTGTCTGCGCCACCTAAGCACGAACGCATATATATATATATGCACGAACGAGAGTTACGTTTGGCATCTTGTCTCGAATGGCGGTTGTGAACGCGTCGCTCAATAAATGTTTGTTGTTATTTTGTGTTATTTAATGCAGGTAGTAATTTTTGCATTTCTTTATCTCGTATTTGTGTTTTGTTTGCCGCATTTTATATTTTTTTTGTGTGTTTCAATATTTGTTTTTGAAATTTACTTGGTTTAACCGCAAAATGCAATCATATGTGTGATACCGTTATGCTATTGTTTGTAATTGTTTACGTTTTTGGTGTAATGTTTGCTTAATTTATGTTTATTGATGTTGATTACTTGGTCTTGTCCCTGAAGTTACATTCATGTAAGTTTTCATTTTATTTTAATATGTGGAAATTGCTGATTCGTTTGATGTATGTACTGACTTGTTGTTTGTTACTAACAATTTTCTCCGTGAATGAAGCAGTCACGGGAGGTGGAAAAAGAAACTGTAGTATATAATTATGTGTTAGGGCACCTAATTCCGTGCACTGTCTTCGACATCCAACTGTAGGTTCGAAACCCCGAAACCAGGGGCGGACTACCCATCTTGCAGGAGCGAGATTACGCTAATCAAAGCTCTTCAGTTTAGAATCTATGTGTGATAAATGAGTGGCGATTCAATAATTCCCACATATTTTGTTTTTAGTCAAATTTGCCTACAAGGCCATGTAATTTTCCATCTTGCTTTCAACAAAAGGACTTTATTGCACCAAAGATGAGTCACATCATGTACTTTTAACCTTTCTCAGAATCTTGGTACCTGCTCCTACCTGACCCATTGTCCCCAAAAACTTGCTTTAACCTTGAGTGTAACCAACATTGTGTATACCTATGCATTTACTATCTTTGTTAACTACTGCTTAAACTTTTACAAAATATTTTGTTAATTAACTTTTGAACTATTTTAATCAAACTGCAAGGTTTTTCTTACGTCGTACTCTTTTTACCCTTGGCAGTGACTTTTGCGAGAGTACGACACCTTTTGGCTTTGTTTGTTTTGTTTATATTAATGTACATCAACTAAATTTCCGGGTTTTCACAATCATAATAATTACGATCATTATTAAACAAACTTTTCACAATTTCAGTGTTTTATTTAACGTTCCTTCCCTATTGTGCTTCAGGCCAAAGCGTTATTTTCAACTAACGTAAGGGGGCCCTGCCTTAGATGTTTTATCACGTGCCACTTTTCAAATTTAAGCGGGATCTTGTTTAGTTTTAGAGGGTTTAGTCATTCGGGTGTCCATTTTTAAACGTTGCCGGGTTTATTTTATTTCCGTGTTCTTGTAGTGTGAAGTTAGTGTAAAACCTGGGGGTTAAGTACACTACACGTGCAAATCTAAATCAGGTCGAAAGACGAAAATTGAGTCAAAACCATCAGCTTCTGTGGCGTTTCTACAGAGGGAGTTGCGATCGCGGAGACGCGGAAACTTGGAACGAAGTACAAAAATTCTCAATTGTATAAGTAATGAAACGTATAACAAATGACCAGTATATGAAAAACGCGGGTTTTTCAAACATTGACCCACATCCGTTTATTTACTGCATTTTTGATCAGTCGCGCGCAGAACGTCACGGAGTGCGAGCGTTCCGTTAATTTTAATTATTCAATTCGCGAAAACGCGGTGATACATCACTAATTGTCGTGTGTTAAAGTGCGTCGTAATTGCAGGGTATCTCCTAAGGTTCGTCTTAGCATTCCCTTTGTTTTTTTTTCACAGGTCACTGATTTTTTACTGATGTTCGGGCGCCCCGCATCGAAAACAATGATCGAATGACAATCACGTTGGCTAACTGTTTTGGGAATACAGTTAAACCCAATTTTGTTTATACGCGAAAATTTGGGCTGCGCCAATTGTTTAAATAATTATACGGAAGATGGACGCGTATGACACATTTGAAAGAAGGAAGTTATAAAAGGCAATACATTCACCGATAGAAAGTACGCGCCGCGAACACGTTGTTTTGCGCGTAAATACTTTCTATGACGTCATTTTGATTTCTTTCGCTCAAGGTCGATCAGGGGGTGGCTTCCGATTGGGAGCGATTTTTCGATGAAAGCGCGCGTGGCTCCTTTTGCCTTGAACCCGCCGACCTTGATCTCTAACTATCAACGCGAAATCACCGAATTCTTTTGGCATTATGTAATTGGCCGTAATTGACGCACTAGGATATCCTCATTTCTGTGTTATTGACAAACATTTATCGCACTTGATTGTGCTATCAAATGCGCCAGTTCATCCCTCCGATTAAGGACAGTCGCGGAATCCGGTACAAAATACCAACGTTGTACCGTTAATGACCATAAAATTAAATTAGTCGTCCATTAATAAGTGAAATTTACCTACAATAATACCCTAGATGACCCACATGCCGACGATACCCTTTTTTTCCCGTCAACAACTTTCCATTCGCTTTGTTCGAGAATACAGTCGATTGTAAAAGATTTAATTTCCAGGGCCGCAGATTATGGTAAATACGTTCCTGACCGTTACAACATGCCTATTCGTGTACACAATGAGAGCAGGAGGTGAGTGATTCGCCCAGCCCGTTTTTTTTTTGTAAACGATGCGCCTATTGTGTGCAGGTGCGCCGGTTATCATAGAAATGGTGGACGAATGGGCGGACAATTGGAATTACAAGCTGGAACCTGACAAGACGCCGATTCTGAGCGCGATGATCAAAAATCACACTTTGCCGCCTACTGCACTGGGCAGTGTAAGTAGGTACCTCCTAGTTTTATGAATACTAGACGAGGGGATGGGATTTGTATAAAATTAGTTATCAATGTTCACTATTTACGGTCCTTAAATAGATTGATTTATATTCATTTTTATTACACGAGCGCGAATTTCGTTATTTATCACTTCGACATCGATCTTAAGACTTGAACCAAACACAATTCCATTTGCTTATACAACAAACAAAAAAGCTTCTAGAGAATTGTGGAATGCGGGTGACTAATCCGTTATCGAGAATTTTTTAGAAGGATCACTACACTGCCCCCCTCTTAAAACAAAATCAGAAGCAATTAGCGGTTTTACGAAAGGGTTGCGAGATTCCTCTGGGCCTAAAGCAACAGACCAATATTTCTATCCCTGTACCTTGAAACACCGCCTCCAGCGTATTTCGCAATTTGTGCCGAACTCGACTTTGATTTGCTCGGAATTGATACAGCTCTTTGATTAAACTCCCAAAGAAGAGGAAGAGTGGTTGCCGAGCGAGGTACAAACCTAGACAGAGTACAAGTTGACCTACACCCTCAGACCTTTACTGTGCCTAGGTTTGTACTGGTTGTAAAACTCTCACTTTTGCTTAAAAACATAATAACTCTATGTTAATGCCGAGCGAGCTGAAGGCGAGTCCAGCACAAACCTAGGCAGGACAGAGGTCAAAATAGGGTTACTAAATTTGTGCGAAAACTACGTTTTCTTCAAACGACCAATAACAGATCTACTTTAATGCCTAGCAATTCTAGGGCAATTTCAGTGCAAGTTGACCTACACCCTCAGACCTGTTCTGTGCCTAGGTTTGTGCCGAGCGAGCCGACACTCGGCACTAGTTTTGAATCTCTCACTTTTGTTTGGAAAATTAATAATCACTATTTTAATACCGAGCGAGCCGAAGGCGAGTTCGGCACAAACCTAGGTAGGACAGGGGTCGAAACAGGGTGACTAAATTTGTGCGAAAACTGTAGAACGAAAGATCAATAACAGATCTACTTTAATACCTAGCGATCCAAGGGCAATTTCAGTACAAGTTGACCTACACCTTAAGACCTTTACTGTGCCTAGGTGTGGTTTTGGAACTCTTACTTTTGCTTGAAAGTTTAATAGCCACACTATTCTGATACCGAGCGAGCCGAAAGCGAGTTCGGCATAAACCTAGGCAGAGAAAGGTTTGATAGGGTGCGTAAATTTGTGCAAAACTGTATATTTTCAAAGAAAGATTAAAAACAGATCTACTATGCCTAGCGATCCAAGGACAATTTCGAATAGTCACCTCATCGAATCTTGACCCCGCCTAGGTTTGTACCGAACTGGACTTTTGTACGAAAGTTTTATAACAAATTAATTTTATTGCTTTGCGATCCTAGGATAATTTCTGTTCATTTCATCAAACTTCTATTCTGCCTAGGTATGTTCCGAACTCGTCTTAATACTATATTTTGTTCGGAAGATTAATAACCACTATATTTTAATGCCGAGCCAGCTGAAGGCACAAACCTAGGCACAGTAAAGGTCTGATGGGCACCCAATCAGACCTCTACAATGCCTAAGTTTGTGCCGCACTGCTTTGGGAACTCTCACTTTTGCTTGAAAGTTTAATCGTCACTTCATTTTAATGCCGAGTTCGGCACAAGCCTAGGCAGAGTAGACGTCTGATAGGGTGAGTAAATTTGTGCAAAACTGTATATTTTGTTCGAAAGATCAATCACAGATCTGTATTAATGCCTAGCGATCCAAGGGCAATTTCGGCACAATTTGGCATACCCAATCAGACTCTGCCTAGGTTTGTGCCGTACTCCGCACTGGTTTTGGAGCTCGCACTTCTGCTTGAAAGTTTAATAGCCACTCTATACAAACCACAGAATAGAGGTGTGATACGCGTGTGTCAATTTGTGACGAACAATTCAATTTGCTTATATAGCAAACGCCCATCTTTCTCGAACGCTCTCGTATATTCTAGAAATGTTCTCGAACAAACGCGTCATATTTCCCGCGAAGAATGCGTCACAACCGCTTTCGTTTCTTATCGCCAATGACTAATCTTTTAGGGCGCCTCGACGTATATCGAGATTTCAAGAATATTCGCTACATTATTTTTAATTTTTTGCTTTTTGTACAAATAATTTAATATTTCAGGGCAGATTGTTATGGGAACGTGAGCAAGATCGAACGCACCTGCCCCAGTTTGTCGACAGGGCGCTTCAACTCCTCAATCTCAAGCAGGTCGCCTTCGAGGTGGAAAATTCTCTCATGTCGAAAGTGTCGTGTACGGCGTGCAAAGCTGGTAGGTAAATTAAGAAGTAACAGGGCTAAGTGATGCGGATGTTTTACTTGAAAGTAACGTACCTGGGGCTGAATGGGGGGGGGGGGCGGAGTGGACGGCTCGAACAATTTTCTCGATTCTCACTTCTTTTTATGTACATCTCAGAGGTCGTTTATAAACAATTGTTCATTTAAAAAAGTGAATTGATTTTCTTTGTTAAGGGGGAGGGGGGCAAGGGTCCAACATACATAAATTAATTAACTCAAGGATTTATACGCATTGTCTTCTCGGCATTCATGAACCCATTTTACCTTGGCCATATACCTACTTGCAGGTGCGGGCTTATTACAGCACTACATCAAAACCGGCAAGTCGGAAAAGGAAATCAAGGAGACAATTTATCAGTTCTGCACGTCCCTCAAAATTCAGTCGGCGAGAGTCTGCGAGGGTATAACCGAGCTCTTCGGGGGCGAGGTGATCTACGTGCTGGGAAAGGTGAAGTACAGTAAGTGATCGGTTGCTATCGCGCTCGTTTTTAATCTGGCGTACAGGTGCAGATGAGATCTGCAGCTTCGTCATCGGCGACGCCTGCGGCGACGTCTACAATCCGTACCACGAGTGGAACGTCGTATTTCCGCCGGTGCCGAAACCGAAATCGGCGCCGCAGGATGCGCCGACGGCCTCGGCGCCGAGCTTCAAGGTGCTGCACCTGTCCGATACCCACTACGATCCGTACTACATGGAGGGCGCGAACGCCGACTGTTCGGAGCCCTTGTGCTGCCGGCTGACCAACGGGCCTGCCGCCTCCAAGGAGCAAGCCGCCGGCAAGTACGTGGAGGGTCCCTGTCGAGGGGTGTTTTCAGATCATCTCGTTACAGGTGGGGCGATTACAGGAAGTGCGATACACCCAAAGCTACCGTCGAGAGTATGATGAAGCATATCGCGGAAACACATCATGTAAGTAAATCGGTCGTGGAGCACGCGAACGGACAGACAGTTGGCTACATTCGAAAATTATGACGGAAGAGAAACAAGTATATTATTAGTGAAGCGAGACGAGTGGTGGTATCTTTATCTCTCTCACACTAGTAACATTAAATTCATTGACATAAATTTCACTTAAGTTCATAGAGTCATATTTTCTACCTCTATCAGGCGCGCTAATAAACAAACTAGACGCGATTTCTTTTTCCATTGGTCAATATCTTCGGTGAACGACGAACTGCTAGCGCGAACACCGACGTGGCACCCATATTTAAACGAAATACGTATTTTAACCACAAATGCTTCTAGTAAAGACAAACATATCGCATACAGTTAAAATCGGACGTGCGCATATGCAGAATGCTCAATCTCAACTTTCTTCTTATTGTTTATTTATAACATTTCTTCTAATCTAACCATAGACGTACCTACGCACTGGTAGTAAACCTATCATTTTTACGGTGAAATTTAATCACAGACCTTTTTAATGGCTATTCGGCACAAACCTAGGCAGTGTAAAGGTCTTTTGGCGTAAGTGAATTTGTACCGAACTCACTTTGGGCTCGCTCGCTATTGGTTTAAAAACTATCACTTTTACGTGGAAATTCGGTCACGGAGCTTTTTAATGGCGAACGATAAGAAGGCGCTCAAAGCCAGTGCCGAGCGAGCCGAAGGTGAGTTCGGTACAAACCTAGGCAGTGTAAAGGTCTTTTGGCGTAAGTGAATTTGTACCGAACTCACTTTGGGCTCGCTCGCTATTGGTTTAAAAACTATCACTTTTACTTGGAAATTCGTTTTTACCATTATTTTTGTGTGTGTTTTTTCTGTAGCCATCTTGAATTTTCCTACCCGCTTCCTCTACATCTGTTCTATTCCGCCTTCTCCACTCTTTACGCCTGCCTCAAAAACTCTTAAAATTTTAGGATATCGACTACATCATTTGGACCGGCGACCTACCACCGCACGACATATGGAACCAAACGCGCGAGGAAAACCTGAAAATCCTGAAGGAAACGGTAAACCAAATGTCGGAGACCTTTCCCGGCATACCGATCTTTCCGGCGCTCGGCAATCACGAGGCGGCGCCGGTGAACAGCTTCCCGCCGCCGTTCATCGACAGTCCGGACAACTCGATCTCTTGGCTTTACGACGAGCTCGACAAGCAGTGGCGCAACTGGCTGCCGAGCTCGGTGAGCAACACTGTACGCCGCGGCGCGTTCTACTCGGTCCTCGTCCGACCCGGCTTTCGCCTCATCTCGCTCAACATGAACTACTGCAACAACAAGAACTGGTGGCTGCTCCTCAACAGCACCGATCCGGCGACCGAACTGCAGTGGTTCATTTACGAGCTGCAGTCGGCGGAGTTCAACGGCGAAAAGGTGCACGTTATCGGTGAGTTTCGTCATTTCGTCCGTCCATCCGTCTGTAGACACGATTGCAGGTCACATACCTCCCGGCCACTCGGACTGCTGCAAAGTATGGTCACGTAATTATTACGCAATAATCAATCGTTACGAGTCCGTGATTACAGGACAGTTCTTCGGACACACGCACTTTGACGAGTTCGAGGTGTTCTACGACAATAAAGATCTAAGTATGCTCGCGCGCGGAGGCACTCGGTGCGCTAACTTGGTGATTCCGTAGGTCGCGCCATTGGCGTCGCGTACGTCGGGCCGTCGGTCTCCTCGTACGCGGGGTTGAATCCGGGCTATCGAATTTACTACGTCGACGGGGACCATCATCAGTCCACACGGGTCAGTCGACTTCCGTCCAATTCGAAAGTACTTAATTAATAAAAGTCTCAGGCTGTTATAGATCACGAAACGTGGACGATGAACTTGGGCGAGGCGAACGTCTACGGTTACCCGATCTGGTTCAAGTTATACTCGGCGCGACAGGCGTACGGCATGGAGGCGCTCCGCCCGCTCGACTGGGACATCCTCGTCGATCGCATGACCAGCGACCCTCAACTGTTCGATCTCTTCTACAAGTGAGTGTCTCGGACATCGCAAAACAAAATCCCCAAACCCGCTCCCCGTTCCAGGTACTACTACAAGGCGAGCATAGTCAAGCCCCAATGCGACGTGGCCTGTCGAAAACGAATCCTGTGCGATTTGCACTCGGGCCGTTCGCACGATCGTCGCAACCTGTGCCAGTCGATCGAGTCGAGGATCGACGGGAACACCGGGACGACCTGGAGGGAGTGGATCTACAATACCATATCAGTGTCGTAAGTATCGAGCGGATGGCGAACGATGTGTACATAACCCCATTTTGATCTTTGTTTATTGGTTCGCAGGTGGAATCGCATTAAAAAATTGTTTTCGTAACGATAAGTACGTTTAGTGTAATTGTATATATAGCTATGTACGCTTGCAACAACTTCACCTGCGTTTTAACTCTTTTTTCTTTTGACACTAAGCAAGGACACTAAATATATTGCTGAAGAATGGAGCCCCCCCCCCCTCTCACACCAGAGATAGAGATTCAATGTTTTGAGGGAGAACAATACCCCTAAATTTCCCTCCTGGAGGATATTCCATAACCCCCCCCCCCACATGTCTAGTACTACAATTTTTGGAAAAAGTTTTAAGGTATGAACGTTTTGAGACAGAACACATCACCGGGGGGTCTGGGGGGTATTGGGGAAGCTTTGAGGGAGAAGAATACTCCCCAGTGCATAAGATTAAATAATATCTTTTCTGGGGGGTATTACATATCCCCCAGACCCCCCCAATTCTACATCCTTTCGCAAATGTCAAGTACCCTTACTATTTACACCATTATTTTTGAAAAAAGTTTTAAGGTACGAACGTTTTAAAGCAGAACACATCACCGGGGGTCTGGGGGGGTGTGGAATACCCCCCAGTATACGATGATATTATTATAGTGGGAAAGTTTTGAGGGAGAACAATACCCCCCAGTGCATAAGGTTCAATAATCTCTTTTCTGGGGGGTATTCCATATCCCCCAGACCCCCCCGGTTCTACATCCTTTACTATTTACACCATTATTTTTGAAAAAAGTTTTAAGGTACGAACGTTTTGTTGCAGAACAGATAACCGGGTTCTGGGGGGGTATGGAATACCCCCCAGTATACGATGATATTATTATAGTGGGAAAGTTTTGAGGGAGAACAATACCTCCAGTGCGTAAAGTAAGGAGAGGAGGGGGGGGGGGGGGCTATTGTTACATATTCTTCCGCAAATTTAGAGTTCAGTCTTTAGATTATGATAGAAGAATTAATTAATTAATAGGTGCACATCGTACTCCACAACCGAGCGCACGAGCTATTTAGTATTAATACTTTCCGCGCATGCGTAACGGCACTAATTCCTTAAGCAGCGACCTCTCGTACAGCCTTTACACCTGCCTGTAACTGTATATATTTCTTTTTTAGTGTGGGATAAGGAATTTGACACAAAGCACTCTTACACTGCTGACATTTCCTGGTAAGTGAAAACTGAAGCTTCTCGCACCTCATCCACACAAACAACCGCATGCGAAAGCATAGAATACTTCCAGTCAAAGTATGCCAGATCATTTTCTGTGCTTTCGTAATCGCGCACACTTTCGGTACGAGGGTATAACTTTTTGCTCTCATTAACATTTTCATGACGATAGTGTGTCTAATTTTGCAGAATTTCAATGCTTTGGTCGATCCCTCGACTAACAATCCAGCTACCAAAGTATGTCATGAGTCTCGGATAACGCTAAGCTATGGTGACGTAGTCAATTGTTCTAGAATTGTAAGGTTTATTTATTGTTTTTTTTTTTTAAATACAAGTAGGCACTGAACATCACTCTTTAACTATTGTGATATTTCGTTTGTTTTTTTTTACTTTGAAAATGATTGTAAATAGGGTTTTGTATGCAGGCTGTGTTCTTTCTTTTCTCGTGCGATATTTAATGTAGCAGTCTATTTTTGTTTTTTTGATAAAATACTCTTAGAATTAAGAGATTTCGTACATTTGATGTATGTAACACCAGTTTATTATTGTTTAATGTAGGCACAGAATGTGTATTAACTAATATCAAATAAATTATTGACTTTGTTTAATTTCGGCTTCAAGTCTTCTTGTCACCAGCGCCAAGGTGGTATTGTAATGGAATCGTGCGCGCGCAACAGGATGACGTCACTCGTCGTTACTGTTATTTTAATAGTCATCTCGTGTGTTACCCGCTAGGAGTCGAGGCCTTGCTAGGGGTTTGATCTCCTGCAGCATTCAAGGAGCAGTGCTCGTGATATTGTTTTATAAGAACCTTCAAGGGCATAGCTCTAAGTTTGTTGAGAACTAAGAGCCTTTTAGAACCTCGGACACATGCTCAAACCCAATCGTGTAGAGTCTTTGATTTGCAACAAATCCAAGAAGAGTTGAGGTTTGCGACCCACTTGCTATAGTAGAATTTTCACTCGTATTATGACGTCAACATTAAGTATGTTTACATAGCATCATGCAATCAATGGAAGAGTACACGTATATAGGCAACCATACAGACAGTGCTGTATTATGGGTAGGATAGCCATTACCAGGATGATCGAAGAAGTCCGTCAGGATAAACAAGGACGGGGACTGCTTGTCTGGAGTGATTGAGCACCAACTTAGGGGATTCCCGGTGTCATCGGAACCACACAGGAGATTATCTAATCAAAAGGATTAGGGAAGAAACCTGAAAGAATTCTACCCACAATTGATAGGGAACGTAGTGGAATTAGGATCCCGGTATGATCAATATACCAATAATGAGGAGTAGGTCGAAGCTTACCTCGGGAAACACCTAAAACAGCCAGATAGTGGTTTATTGAGAAGAAGGGGAGAAACATATCATAGAACCGCGAGCTATAACTGGGACCACAGGTATCACTGCTACATAGCATACAGACTAGGGGGTAACTAACAATATTCGGAACCACTACGCCAGCGTGGTGAGCAGGGGCGGACTGGGTAAGGGCCAGGAGGAATTACATAGGTTACGGCCAAAAGTTACAGCCCTTTGAATTTTTTTTCGAAATTGTTTTCTAGTCTATAACTTTTGATTGAGAAGTCTAATCGAAAAAGTACGAATTGTTTTGGATTCTACGCACCAAAATTAATAAGAAAAAATGTTTTCCCGAGAAATTTTGGTGCAGTCGATTTTTGGTAAAAAAGGAAGGTTATACACTGCCTTTTTTTGAGCCCCGAAATAAAAATTGTCTCAGATCGACCCGGAAAAAAAATTTTCTTATAGAATGTGGCCTGTAGAATCCATAATTTCAAACAGTTCCAAGATTGGGCTACTAGTTCAAAAGTTACAGCCCTTTGAATTTTTTTTCGAAATTGGTTTCTAGTCTATAACTTTTGATTGAGAAGTCTGATCGAAAAAGTACGAATTGATTTGGATTCTACGCACCAAAATTAATAAGAAAAAGTGTTTTCCCGAGAAATTTTGGTGTAGTCGATTTTTGGTAAAAAAGGAAGGTTATACACTGCCTTTTTTTGAGCCCCGAAAAAAAAATTGTCTCAGATCGACCCGGAAAAAAAATTTTCTTATAGAATGTGGCCTGTAGAATCCATAATTTCAAACAGTTCCAAGATTGGGCTACTAGTTCAAAAGTTACAGCCCTTTGAATTTTCTTTCGAAATTGGTTTCTAGTCTATAACTTTTGATTGAGAAGTCTGATCGAAAAAGTACGAATTGTTTTGGATTCTACGCACCAAAATTAATAAGAAAAAGTGTTTTCCCGAGAAATTTTGGTGTAGTCGAATTTTGGTAAAAAAGGAAGGTTATACACAGGGGCGGACTGGGTACTTACGGGCCATTAAAGTATTAGTGTAGTAATGAAGGTGCGGGGGGGGGGGGGGGGTTAGCTCTGAGGTGCACCACAAAAACATTTTAAAGTACTCCTTTCTCGAAAATCCTATCATTGTATTTCAGCACTTTCAAAATACTACGACAAAAAATGATAAATTCATTGTAAAACACTTCAATTAAAACAGAATTTTTTAACAACCTAACATCAACCCCAATTAGAGAAACGTGTTAATAATTTATTAATAGTGCAAGAAACTAAATACAGCACATACTTATAAGTTTCCAACGGGCCATTATGATCTACAGGCCAGGTGGCAATCGCCCCCCCCGTGCCAGTCCGCGCCTGGTGGTGAGGGCAGTAAACATGATAGGTGAGGTAGAAGAAGAGGAGAACAAGGGTGCTGGGGGAATACGAGGAGGCCGCCGTCCATAACGAATATAGTCTAAGCGTGGTATCCGCCGAGGAGGAGCGGAAATAACCAGGAGGAGACAACAGCCACGTGGAACGTACAAGGGGCAAACTTCTGACTGGTACTTGCTGGTATACTGAACGCAACTTTTCCCTAATTTAACCATCTTCGAATCTTCTACGATTCCCGAGATCCCCATGATAGACATCCGTATCTTGGATACGGTATATATACCTTATTTTAAAAACGCAAAGCGCGCCATCTGTCGTTACAGCAGTCAAACGTCGCAAATTTTGAATTTTTTGCCCATCGATCCGATCGCTTTCAGGTGCAAGGAAGCCGATTAAAAAGCCATAAAAAAAACAAACGTGAAAAAAATACCCTCTTAACGCAAAGTAGCCAATCAGCGGTGCGACTGTGGCAAACTCGTCTCGGACTTTCTCGTGGAAGCCGCCGCCGTTGGCCTCGCGCGGTTTGTTTGGCTTTTAGTTTACGTTCGACTTTCGTGGTAAAACGTTAGCTCGCTGCGAGTTTCCCCAGTGTTTTTTTTACGGTTTCTTTTTGCTCAACGAAAAGTTCTGTTTGTGTGCCCCTTTGGGATTACGAGACGGGCGCAATTTGGGGGTAAGTTTGGGGGCAACGTAAAAAAAAATTCAACGGTTTTTATACCGGCAAAACTCGTTTTTTCGGTGTTAATTACCTATAAGCCGCCGAAAGTTCAATTTTAATTGGCGGCAATTACAAGACGGGCGCACGTACGGATTTTCAAGAAAACGCGACATGACGTCACATGCTAATTTCAAGGCCGCCGCAAGCGCAATTACCTTCCCTAATTGGGAGCATCTTACGAGGTCCCTTCGTTTAGTTGAGTAACCGTTCGACAATGGGCATTGTCTTCTGTCGGTCCGAACGAGATGAATCGAAATTGTGCTCGTCGAGCGTTAATAAACAATGCGAATGTCGGTAGCGAAAGTGGCGTATTGTATTCTAATCTGAAAGGAGACCGAAGAATGGTCCCAGGTAAATTGCGAGCGTTTGTTGTGAGGAAAGTAATTGTCAATCAGTAACACCAACAAAACCGTTCGTGCGCTTCCAACGGTAGTTTGAGTAAACTGTCAGACTAAGCTTCTTGTTGACAGGTGTCAACCTGACAGGTGTCAATCATACTCCTTTAAAAGAAACAGTGTAGAACTGGCACAGTCGTTTTATACAAAATCTTAAATTAAACTGACATGTATTATTGTACCGTAACAAACGCGATGAGTGTAGATGATTACCAGAGTACAAAAAAAGTGCGCCCTAATCCCTGGGCATGGGATGAATAAATTTGTGCAAAACTGTATCTTTTGTACGAAAAGTTCAATAACAAACGTATTTTAATGCCTAGTGATCGAGAGAATTGGTTTACAACGAATGCGCTTATTTCGTGATCAAAACTCAATCACCTTTTTTTTTAAATCGATTAAACTGATCTTTTTTGGCACTGCACTATTCACTTTCCCCCACATATACAACATGCAAAAAAAAGGAAAAATCCTACCATTTACCCTATAGCCTTATTAAATCGGTCTTGCCTAGGAAGAACTGAACTGCTGGCAGTTGAATAGGCATTGTGCAGGGAGGGGGGTCGTGTCTAATAACTGAAAAGCAAAAAAATTGCATTAAATTTTTGGTTATACTATGCGATCAAAAATGATTGGCCGTCTAGTCGCCGTTGGAATTTTTGTTCACATGGAAATCGTATTTAACTTGAACTTCCAAAGGCGACTCGACAGCAAATATCACTTTTGCGTGAAATTAAAATAGCTCTGTGATTAAATAAAAGCGATACCTTTGAAACCAGGCAGAGTAAAGGTCTGATGGGGTCAATCAACTTGTGCCGAAATTACCTTTGGTTCGCTAGGCATTAATACAAATCTGTAATTAAAGTTCCAAAAATTGACAATTTACTCTGCCTAGGTTATAAAAATACGAGGGGGTAATACATGAGCAAAATGTTGTACGAAAGACTACCAGTTGCGAAAGACTACCATAGGATTACCAGTGACTACAAGAGACTACCCCATGAATACCAGAGACTACCATACAAATACCAGAGACTACCAATGAATACCACAGACTTCCATACAAATACCAGAGACTACCAATGAATACCACAGACTTCCATATGAATACCAGTGACTACCACATGAATACCACAGATTACCAATGAATACCAGAGACGAGACCAGAGACTACCACACAGGTGGCAGGGAGATAAAGAGTTGTACCTGGACTGCGACCGGTGTTGGGTAACATCCTTTAATTCTAGATCTAGATACACCTCCAGATGCATTTAAAATCATGATCTAGATCCAGATCAGAGATCCGCATCTAGATCAAGATAGTCCTAAAATGATCTAGATCCTTTATAGGTAAATCTGATTTACATCGGTGAAAAAGTCCTTCTTTGAAAATTATAATATAAAGTGGTGTGCGTACCTACATAACAATAACGTGTTTTTCGGATAATTCGGGGAAACCGGCGGCGGCATGCCCATGAATCAGTTGTACAGGGTGAATCGAGGGGTGAGTCAACGATTACGCGGAGTAACTTAATGCTTAGAAGATAAGATTTTTCGATAGAATACTTTTGCGTTATGATATGGTTGAATATTCTCCACATGTTAAAAATATTTGGAATTATACAGGGTGCACCCAAAAAGTAGGGCGCCCAAATGGTACATTTTTTTAAATAGAATCCCCTGTATTTGAATGCATTTTTTTTTACGAGATAGATAAAAATTGCCTTTTTTGCATGTCCACCTCACTTGTGTAAATTACATAACTTATTTAAGATTAGAATATAAGACCCAGGAAAACCAAGATATTTCGATCAGAGATAGGTATAGGACATTATTATCCAAAGTTTAAGGTTTTTGGAGGAGCTAAATGATGACAGAAAAATATACAGGGTGTTCCATTTAAAAAAGTGAGATTTTTAATATGAAGTTTTGCCACTTTGAACTTTCCAGAAAAAACACCCTGTAAGTTGTATTTTTAATATTTCATAGTAGCTGTATTTATTTGACTTTTACTTAACCCAAGATAAGATATAAAACCTGGAATCAAAATTTAAGTAATAATTTTGACAATATACTGACGCTTGCAAATGCCCAATTTTTCTTAAAAATCGAATTATCTTTAAGACCACTAGCTTTTTGGATATTAACCATATAATAAAAAAGACGTACAATTACACGTAGAATTCAAAAATGCAGGGGATTCTATTAAAAAAAAATGTACCATTTGGGCGCCCTACTTTGTGGGTGCACCCTGTATAATTCAAAATATTTTTAAAATGTGGAGAATATTCAACCATATCATAATGCAAAAGTATTCTATCGAAAAATCTTATCTTCAAGGCTTAATGCCTCCGCGCAATCGTTGACTCACCCTGTACTGTAAATAATTACCGATACTACCCCCTAAGCTAAACTACCCGTTATGCTAATGACTATTTACTTTCTGCTTAAACCTGTCTACTCTTAAAAGGCTGGTAAATCCCTAAAACTTGAATGGAACATATTTATTCTTTAAACATAGAAACGATTTACTCCGCCAATGTTAAAAACATTTATAACATAAATAAATTAAAATTGATCTTTGGATCTACTAGTGGAAAATCTATTAATATAATCTAGATCTAGATACAAGATCATCTTCTAAAAAGGGTCTAGATCCAGATCTAAGATATATGTGATTATCATGGAAACCTTGGCCTCGACCTTGGCCTGTTTTTAAACACACAAGACAAATCATTATTACTGATTGAATCGCTACCATCTTTAAAACAGAATCGTCACCTTCAATCACCAGCACTGCAACAATCAATTCAATTAATTTAAAAAGTTGCGATTTGATAGACAAAATCATAAAAGCCATAGTTTATACCGGAAATACCTACCTACAGGCAAAATGGAAAATAATAAAAAAGTTAGTAAATGCTCATAGGAATACCAAAGACTACAACCAGAAAACCGGCGATTACCACTGACTACCATCGGAATACCAGAGATTACCATTGACTACCACGGGAATGCCAGAGAATACCACTGATTACCTTCGGAATACCAGTGACTACCATAGACTACCACCGGAATACCAGAGACTACCACGGGAATACCAGAGACTACCACGGGAATACCAGTGACTACCAGTCATGTGTACGAAAGAATACCACACCGACTAACCCCTCGTAAAAATATCACTGTTGAGTTCCTTTTATTCGATAGAAAGGAAAATAAAAGTAGGTAATAGCTTTGATAGCAAACCTAGGCAAAGTAGAGGTCTGATGGGATCAATCAACTTGTGCCGAAATTACCTTTGGATCGCTAGGTATTAATACAGATCTGTAATGAAGCTTCCAAAAAAGTGAGCCAATTGACAATTTATTCTGCCTAGGTTGGTTATAAATATAATGCTATCACTTTTGCGTGAAATTAAAATGGGCCTGTGGTTAAATAAAAGTGATACCTTTGAAACCATTGCCGAGAGAGCCGAGGGCGAGTTTGGCACAATCCTAGGCAAATAAAAGGTCTGATGGGGTTAATCCGAGGGTTAATCAACATGTGCCGAAATTACCCTTGGATCGCTAGGCATTGATACAAATCTGTCATTATACCTCCAAAAAAATGCGTTAATTAAAAAGGGAAGGCTTACCCTTTAGCTTCATCCACTCTGTCTCAACAAAGATGAATCTTGCTGGCAGCTGGTTAGCGGACATCTGGGAGGGGGGGCGCCACTTCCTAGTCACCACTTGAGTCAAAATTCCATCGCATGAAACAAAAGTACTCAACTTTAGCATAAGCACAGCCTTTCGTGATCAAAGGTCACTCACCTTTTTTTAAATCGGTTAAGCTGATCTTCCTCCGATAATTAATAAATGAGGTATAACCATTCCCGAAAAACCTTCACCTTGGAGATGAAAAAATTGACTCCAATGCTTCGTCATGGCCCAGTTCGCAGGGAGATCAGTTTACTCCATTAAAATGGCATGGCTATGAATTCATAGTCACTGATTCTTATGAAGTAAGTGATTTCCACCACGGGGGAGACTACATGCAGCCAACCTTACATCTCCAAGATGGCGGGTCGAGAGGATGGTTACAACTCACTTATTACATAGGAAGATCGTTCCAATCTAGTTGATGATCTTCTTTTCAATCACTGCACTATTCACTTTCCCCCCCACATAATATACAACATGCAAAGGATCATGCAAAAAAAGAAAAATCCTACCTTTATAAGGCTGCCCTTCTGAAATCTGGAACAAAAAAAGAAATTCACGTTAAAAAAAGTGAAGAAGTCACGATTAATTAAACTAATTAAAAATAATTAACGAGTACCCTTGAGGAGGGTAGATGTTGCCAATTGTGAGTACATTTCGCGATAATCGCTTTAATTGAAATGAAATTATCTGTGGCTAGCACAGATACGACCCCCACACTTGCGCATGCGCGATTCTGCCCTGTCTAAGAATATGTCTACCAAATTTGGTGCCGTTTAGCCGGAATTGAGAGTACAGACGGACCGACATCATCGAGATTTTGTTCGATTGGATTCCTGGTGCTTCAAAACGTGTAATTCCGCCAGAAAAGTGGGGACTCATTTTTTACGCCAATGCAATACCTCCCTTACTAACGTGCGGGTGGTAAAAAAAGGTTAACCCTTACCTCATAGCCTCATTGAGTCGGTCTTGCCTAGGAAGAACCATTAACTGAACTGTTGGTAGCTGAGTGGGCCATCAGTGGGGGAGGGCATCTCTAATAGCTGAAAAGAAAAAAAATTGTATTACATTTTTGGGTAACATTTAGAGTAGAATTTTAAATTCACAAACGCGATACTTCAGAAGGAAACAGTTACCTTGTAACTTCATTAACTCCGCCTGGACTAGGAGGAGGCCAGCATCAGAAAAAAAGGGCCCGCGGGGGGGTTGGGGCGTCCGTTCATAGTCCCCATCCGCAAAGACTGAAAATTAAAAAGGAGCATTAGATTTGTATTCGTCTATAACCTCAATAAAACGCGTTAATGAAAAAGTGAACACTTACCTTTTACTTCATTAACTCGGCCTGGTCTAGGAAGAAACCTTAAGTGAACTGAGGGGGTTGGGGCGGAACGCCCCCTCTTAGTCTGCAGCACAAATAACTGAAAAGTAAACAAATTGCATTAAATTGTTGAATACAATGAAACAATGATTTGGACAAAGGGATGGACGGACAGAACATTTTGCCTTACGTTATGCGTGAGAACAGGGGACAATTTTTGTTAATTTCAGATGTGGGAAAGCAAGCGCCCCAAAGTTGACTCACTTGGCTATGACTGTAATTTAATGGGAAGAAAGTGAGATCCCCGAAGGTCTCCACTCCGGGTCTGTGGGCAACCAAAGAGCCCAGCATGCGATTAATAATTAAATAGCCTCTCACAACGCAATTTATGGTTATGTTCATTGAAATGTAAGGAACCCCTTAATTTCTAAAATTCAGTTGCAGCACGTACCCTTATTCCCAAATTCCCCCCCGACGTCAGTCACCTCGTAAAAAGTGCGCTACTGTTTCAAAATTCGAATGTATGTGCAAAGATGGTTTTTTGACTACTCATGGTTGGACGCCATTTTATGGACCATTCGGCAATTTATAAAAGTGGAGTTTCGGTAAACGCTGCAGAATTACAGCTACACGTAGAAGTCATGCACAACTTGTAAACTCACCCCTGCATTACGCCTCTTCGTAAAACGCAATTAATTTCACAAAACACAACAATGGCACCTTCTTTGGGACGCACTCGAACTCAAAGTCGCAATGGCCGCTGAGGGCGTTGAAGGCAATGGGACCCGTGTTGTTGTTAAATAACGTAGTATACCCGCTATCGCTACTTCGCGATATCAATTGCATTGAAAACAATGCAAAATAACTGGTTCCCGGTCTACGTGAAAATTCACGTCGATCGCAAGAACAAACTGTTAAAAAAAACGTAAACATGCCGTGACGTCATCATCCCTTATCGCTAGCAAAAATAAATCGCTTATTGGGGGGTGTTGGGGTTACGCTAATTATTGAACAATTGTAAAATTCCATTAAGACGAGTTATGCAAACGGCACGTGTGGAAATGCGGGGTCCATTTTTGAGTGGCTGCATTAATTAATCGAAAAAGATTGAAAGGTACTAACCTTCGAGCGGCCGTTCGTGATCGTGGATGCGATTTCTGGTACACAATGCGTTTAATTAGGGGTTTGTTTACGTGTTCAATTAAAAGATCACCCCTCTGCCTTTACGTTCGGCGAACAGCTTCACAAATTTGAAGATCGCGCACGAAGAAAACACAAGACAACAGGTCACTCGGAACGTTTCCGACTGACGCGATTTTGCGTAGCAACATCGGTAGAGCCGCGCTCCGATTGGCTGCCGAGCGATCACTGCACACCTGTGGCCCGTTCTTATCAGTACCAGACTGTGTTTACCCGAATTTCGAAGAAGATTTTCTTTTAATTCATACGAAAGTTAAACGAAGAACGAGGGAACCTAGCATCCGTGATAGGGGAAGCTTGCCGTACCCCCTTTCTGGTTAATGAAATGGAATTTTTCGCTGATGAGTATTTTCTACCAGTACCACCTTTTCTATTCGCTTTTTTACGCGTTAAAAATCTTTAGGGGTATTTATGACCCTTTAAAAATGTGCCAGAACCTTAAGTGTGCCTATGAACCCTGGAAAGGCTCTTTTTAATCTTTAAAAACCTAGAAATATTTAATGTCCGAACCATGAAGCCCATTTTATAAGCTTTAATAATAAAAATAATAAAAAATAGGCGAGAATGACACCGCACGTAGACCGAGAGTATTTTCTCTTTTAATGTGCACAAATAATTTGTTGCTCAAGTTGTTATTACTTACAATTGTCCATTGCATTGCATTTAACAATAATTAATGTAAATGCGAATTTGTTGCTGACTATAAACAATAAAAAATAGGCGAGAATGACACCGCACGTAGACCGAGAGTATTTTCTCTTTTAATGTGCACAAATAATTTGTTGCTCAAGTTGTTATTACTTACAATTGTCCATTGCATTGCATTTAACAATAATTAATGTAAATGCGAATTTGTTGCTGACTATAAACAATTAAAAATAGGTAAGAATGACACCACTCGTAGACTGAGAGTATTTTCCCTTACAATGTGCATAAATAATTTGTTGCTCAAGTTGTTATTACTTACAATTGTTCATTGTATTGTATTTAACAATAATTAATGCAATTGTGAATTTGTTGCTGACTATAAACAATAAAAAATAGGCGAGAATGACACCGCACGTAGACCGAGAGTATTTTCTCTTTTAATGTGCACAAATAATTTGTTGCTCAAGTTGTTATTACTTACAATTGTCCATTGCATTGCATTTAACAATAATTAATGTAAATGCGAATTTGTTGCTGACTATAAACAATAAAAAATAGGTAAGAATGACACCACTCGTAGACTGAGAGTATTTTCCCTTACAATGTGCATAAATAATTTGTTGCTCAAGTTGTTATTACTTACAATTGTTCATTGTATTGTATTTAACAATAATTAATGCAATTGTGAATTTGTTGCTGACTATAAACAATAAAAAATAGGCGAGAATGACACCGCACGTAGACCGAGAGTATTTTCTCTTTTAATGTGCACAAATAATTTGTTGCTCAAGTTGTTATTACTTACAATTGTCCATTGTATTGTATTTAACAATAATTAATGCAATTGTGAATTTGTTGCTGACTATAAACAATAAAAAATAGGCGAGAATGACACCGCACGTAATTAATGCAACATCGACTTTGTTGCTAACTATAAATAATAAAAAATAAGAATAAACTACTTTTCTTTGCGAATTGCATGTCATAGTTATTGTTAATTCTGCGTGACATGCGCCCGATTTTTTGCAGGTTTTTTTTGGGGTGGGTTCAGTTTACATTAAGCAACACCATTTTGAATATGGCAAAATTAGCACATATTTAGCACTAATTTTTAGAATGTGTTGGATTTTTTTACGGTTGTTTGGGGGGGGGGGGGCTAAGTTAATGGAGAATCCTATAGAAGAAGTTTTATTTTGAACTGCATTTCACAGGAATGTGACTCGATTGTAGCATATTTTTCCGTAGATTTCTAACGGCAAGGTAGATCTTCGACCTCTGCATATTTCCGCATATTCGCCGATCATTGCAGATTTGGATCGCCTCGTTTCAGCGTATCTGCCGCGATCATCACAAGGTGTGCGGGGTGCGTGAGTCATCGTAAAAGAAGAAAGGCTTATAATTTATGCAGTCGCCCGAAGAAAAAATTATGTAAAACCTCAAACGAACTTAATATTCAACTCTCACTTTGATCACCACTCGTTATAAAATCTCGATATTAGTGTCACCAAGACACACAATAAACAATGAAATTATTCAATTACAAAACCGCAACTCGAGTTCGGTCTCGAAGCGAAGTATGTCAACGGCATTTTCGTTTTCGCGATTTTCTACGGATTGCAATTACAAATTAGAAACCTTGTCGATATCCTTCAAGACGGAGACAATGGAGAAGGCCGAGTTCCTGCGATTATTTCGCCTTTTTAGACGACTGTTAGAACGGAAGCATGATTGTTTCCGGTAGTACGCGGCAGGTGCGTTTTTTTTTCGCTCGGGGTGGTTGCGGATCGCTCGAAGCGTGACGGCGAGGGGAGATTCCGCTTTTAAAGATGGCGGACGCGCGCCCTCGTGTGGGCCCATAACCTGTTCTCATAGGCGTTCGGCGTGGTAAGAAATTTTCGTCTCGGACAGGATGTCGTGTCCAGTCCGGCGAAGTGTGACGCCCCATTTCGACGGGGGAAGCGGCGAAACGGAAGTGAAGCAAACCGTTAAAGACGTACGTGCGTCACTTCTATGCACTTGTCGCCGAATGACGTCACTAAAACGATGCAGATTGCCAAACGCACGTGTGATTCTTTACGAGATCAAGGATGTCTGCTTTTAGTTTCGACCAGATGCGTTGCATCCCCGAAAGTCCAATAAAAAACGCACGCTCGTTCTCTTTTATGGCACTAATCGAGTAATTGGCAATGAGGAAGTTTTACTTTCAATGGCGTAATCGTCGTTTTCTATGCAGAAACAACAACGGCACAAAAAGGCACAAATACTTTGTGCCGTTCGCTACCATAGATAAGAGCTTCTTTAATTGTGCCGTAAGGCAAAGATCCGATCCCAATTTCTACAACGGGATTAAAGTAACCCAGTTCGCGCCGTTTTTTTTCTCCTTGACCTTTCTCGATTGAGCTCTGATCCAGTTGCCGCATACCGAAAATACCGCGTCCGGTGTGACGATTGTGCGCGTTTTAATTGGGAGAAGAATTTCGGCCTTGCCCCGGACACGCGGCGGCGACGAATTAATTCATTAAGCCGTAAAACTGGAGCAGATCTGCTTATTTAGGAAGCGTTAAATTGAACGGAGAAAACAAGCGCAATTTTGCGCCAGGCTGGTGTACATTTTAGTGCCGTTATTGTAAAAAAAAAATTAAGTAACGTGTTGTACCTATGAGACAACCGATTAGTTAAGTTTGGTCTTTTTCACAATGAAATTGGTCAACATATAACGATTTTGGTATCCTTTAGAGATGGTCACCAAAAATGAAACTAACAAATTCTTATCTTGGGCGCCGAGATACCTTTTGTTGTTGGCCCAACAAAATCGATTCATAAATAACGATTTTGACAAAGCGTACTTTTGATTCGGCTCAGAATTAAAGAGTGGTTATTAATCTTTCGAAGAACATATAGCTTTAAAACCAGTGCCGCGCGAGCCGAAGGCGAGTTCGGCACAATCCTATGCACAGTAGTGCAGAAATTACCCTAGGATCGCTCAGCAGTAAAAGAAATGTATTACTGAACATTCGCACTAAAGCTTTGGACACATTTACTCATTCCATCAGACCTCTACTCTGCCTAGGCATGTGTCGAACTCGCCTTCAGGTCGCTCGGCATTGGTTTTAAAACCAACTAACAAACCTAGGCAGAGCAGAGATCTGATTTGTGCATAAATTTACACACCCAGTAAGCTGGTTATTAAACTCTGAAGCAAAAGTTCTCAAAGCCTTCGGCTCGCTCGGCACTGGCTTTAAAACCGACACTTTTTGGAGTTGGACAACCCCGTCACACCTCTACTATGCCTAGGTTTGTTCCTTCGGCCTCGCTCGGCTTTTTAAAGTAAGCTGGTTATGCAAAACTGAGTTCACAAAGCATGCCTAACGAGCAAAGGCAGAGTTCGGCACAAACCTAGGCAATTTTGAAATCTTGATGGGGTGAGCAGAAATTGCCTAGGATCACTAAGCAATCAAATAAGTTTGCCTATTGAAGTTTCGCCCACAACAGATAGACAATTGTGCCACAAATTTCACCTCGGGTCTCTTGCCATTATTAAAATAGACGGTTTACTAAACTTTCAGACAAAAGTGAGATGTTGAAAACCAGTGCCGAGCGAGCCAGAATGGCGATTCCGGCACAATCCTAGGCATAGTACGAGGTGTGCTTGGGTTCTGACTTGTGCAGAAAATTTACCCTAGGTTCGCAAAGCGTAAAATTAAATTTGTTACTGAACTTTCGCACTAAAGTTTTTGCCACAATTTACTCATTCTTCTACTGTGCCTATGACATTGCTGCCGAACTGCTTCAAGCTCGCTCGGCATTGGGTTTTAAAACTATATGTTGTTCGGAAAATCAATGCTTCTATTTAACAAACCTAGCAGATCATTAAGATCTGATTTGTGCATAAATTACCCTTTGGCTAAGCAATAAAATAATTAGTGTTTGAATTTTCAAACAAAAGATAGAACAGTTTGGTACAAATTTTAATCACCCCGTCATACCTTTCTACTATGCCTAGGTTTGTACCGAACTCGCCTTAGTGGCCGCTCGGCTTTAAAGTAAGCGGCTATTAAACTCTGAAGCCAAAAGTGAGAGTTTTCCCAAAGCAGTGCGGCACAAACTTAGGCATTGTAGAGGTCTGATTGGATACCCATCAGACCTCGACTCTGCCTAGGTTTGTGCCGAACTCGCCATCAGCTCGCTCGGCATTAAACTGGGGTGGTTATTAATCTTCCGAACAAAATATAGTGTTAAGACGAGTTCGGAACATACCTAGGCAGATAAAAGTCTGATGAAATGAGCAGAAATTATCCTAGGATCGCTAAGCAATAAAATTAATTTGTTATAAAACTTTCGTACAAAATATAGACAGTTTTGCACAATTTTACCGATCCCATCAGACATCGGCTCTGCCTAGGTTTGTGCCGAACTCGCCTTCGGCTCTCTCGGCATTAACATAGATCGGTTATGAACCTTTTGCACAC